CTAGTTTGTTATAAATAAAAAAAAAAAAAATTTTGGGCCAAATTTTGAGGCCCCTTCCAGAATTGGGCCTGAGGCGGCGGCCTCACTTGCCTCGCCTCAGGGCCGGGCCTGAGTATAAGCAGAACTGGGAAACACTCAAAGAACGACCCCAACATTTACTGTATGATTGCAAGGCTAAAGAGCATTCCTGATGCAAGTATTCAGTTCATGTTTGTATTCTGCTATCATAAAACTGTTTAATTTATGAAAAGAAAGCAGGATAGTTCAGTTCAACACTATCAAGTTGTTAAATGATCACCATATGGGGTAAATATGGCTGCACTGAGCATATTTTCATTTCTCTGTGCTCTTTTTGAGTACTTTCAATTGCAGAGCTTGAAACACCCTCTCTTTAGTTTTGACCTCAATATACTAGTCCATAGTCTCGCCCCACCAATCTTTTGAGGTAACACACTTGGTGCCTCGGACACAGGTTTAAAATTCGCAGAATTAACTTAATGGACAGGGGGTCCGAGTTTTATATCATGATTCCTGGAACTGCCCGGGGCACTCTCCTTTTGAGCATGGTAAGTGTATATTTGACAATAGTCTCTGGAGAAGCCTTCTCCTCGTGTTCAGCACCTGGAGTTACCATGCTAGGTTTAAGTAGAATGCCTTCAAAGACAACGTTGTTATCTGCCCAGTAGAACACCTCTGACCACACATTCTCTGCCATTTCAAGTGTCCTCTTAATTGGGTGGTCGCCATCCAGAAGAATTTCATGCTCCACAATAGGCACGAGCTGCACAAGAAATCACAAATCCATATTATTTCACCACCAATAGAAAGATATCTGTCTTGTTTTTCTGGTTTTTAACAATAACGCCTGGATTCAATGAACTGAAACAAGACAAGCACTCTCGGAAGAGAAATATAAGGAATATAGTGGAATTGGGATTTAGATAGGTGCCTGAGAAATAGCAGCATAACGAGGGAGACCCCATTTGTGATGTCTTGAGATCTAGCATGGCACGGGAATGTCATGGCACGAAGTGGGAGAATGAAGTAGACATATGGTTAATTAGGTCTAAACTTCAACGGTACATGGTGGTGTCGGTGTCACCTAATTTGATGGGGAGATGACTGATGTCCATGGTGGCAGGTTCATGTCCAGGCCATGTCTGGAAAATTAGGTTGTGCAGGCAGGCAGGCGACATGGCTGCAACGCATGCAGACATCGCAAGCAGATTGTAGGCAGCACCCAGGATGCAGTTAGGACATGGCCGACCCATACTGCAGTCATTGCAAGACACAGGCAGTACAACAACACAGACTGCAGGCTGCATGACTTTAGCAGTGACATGGGCATGACATTGGCAGTTTTCCCAATATACCAGGTGATTTTCTAGGGAGAAATACCATGGGCTGGATGCTGGATATTTTGGGGTGTCTTGTACAAGTTGGCTACTCAAGCCACTTGCAAGATCAAGGCCAAATGAGGAAGCAAAAGCCAGTTTTGCAACTATGAAAGGGACATGTCTAGTATGAGATTTTTGTAGAGACATTCCACTTGGATGAAGCAAAGTCCAACATTGCTTTCTTTGGTCTTAGGAGGTTTAAAGGCAATTTGCAAGCAATGAGAACTATTGGATGAGGATTGATTTTGGCCTTTAAATTCAAGGCATTTGCATGAGATTTTGCCTGTAAATAGAGATGGAGTCTCATTGTAATTTATTATATTGGAGTTGAGTCATTTTAATACAAAGAGAGATTTTCTCCCAAAAATACTTGTCTTCTATATTACTTCAAATACTCTACTCAAAGTTTTAGTAATTTAGCCAACTTGGTTGAATTATTTGTAGGTGTGGGAATGGCTGACTTAACGTTTTCTCGCAGGGAAAGGGAATTGTTTGCTTTAAGGCCGCACGATATCTAGTTATTCTAGTGTAAAAAAACTAGTCCTGTGACACCATGCTGCTGCTTTATCAGCCAAAGCAGAAGGATCGCAGGGGATGCTAACAACAGTTCTCCTGAAATATTAGAATGCAAAGGGAAAAAGGTCAGCACATCATTTGTTTTTCATCCTTGAAAGGAAACAATTTATTGACATCGACATCCTAAAGTGAAAGATACAGCTGACATGTTTAAACGAAAACAGCACACCATTTTGCAAAACGAGCCCCTTGCTTATAGTATTCAACAGATCTAGAAGCCAATTCATCTAGCCCCTGGCACCAAGATTCATTGTTGGATCCTGGTAGCAGAACTAAATCCTGTCAAAGGGGAAAAAAAAAACTAACCCCAAAATCCCCGGTAATTTGGTGATCTTCGAAAAAAAACAAAAACAAAAAGGTGCACTTCCAACATATTAAAATAATAACACTACCTTATCAACTTTGATACCGGGTACAATATTCTCATCTCGCAAACAGTCCACAAACTTCTTTCCACCTGTAGACTGTAGTTGACTGGTAAAGAGTCTCCTCGAAGAGAATGGCAACAGAAATATAGTTTCCAAGGCCAGGACTAGGAGTGGTCAGCAGAAGTTGTCTATAAGCCTGTCTCTTTGTTTCTGTATTGTCAAGTCCAATGGATGCCAACCTCTTTCCACAGGTTGCATATCAATGGCAAGGATACCACGACCTGGAGATGCAAATAATGCAATTGATTTTTGTTCCCAAAAAGAACAAAACAGAAAACGCTTTAGCAAGAGGCACCAAGTTGAACTTCCAACTCATTAATGAGACATTAATATTTGCAATATAAACACCAAGCACTTCACAGTTTACAATTACCATATAGCATGTTTATGTAGGCTTTACCTATGAGACAAAATCTTTTACGTTGATAAGAGGACAGAATATTTTATGCTATTCTATAAGTAATTCCCGTTGGAAAATTGGTTTTAATTAGTTAGTTTGACCAACTATTTTAGTAGGTCCCATTAGTTGGACAGAAGATTTCTTTGGCCGAGTGTGTTTTACTCTGTGAATAAATTAATGTAATGTATTTATTTTCTCAAAATTCATTTAGGGTGAATCCGAAATTAAGGGCAAACGATGACCATTTGAAATTGAAATAAATTGAGAATAAAAAATTGATGGGAAATAAGAAAATGACAATCCCACGTAAAAAAAAACTAGAAGAATAGAAATCAATTTATATTGCTCAACTTTGGGACTTTAATTTGGACCCAAGGGGTACCAATTGGGGGGAGGACGTACATGCTAGTAGGTAGAGTCAAAGTTCACACGCGCGCATCGCCGCCAAGTTGGTATATGAAAGTCCTCGTACCCCGGATTTTATTTATTCCAAATCAATTATGTTTTTTCTTTCTTGCAAAGTATATTCCTTCATTCCTGCATCATTCCATATTTTACATTTCGGTCTCGAATATTATTTTTGTGCATTTTAGTCTTTCGGTTTTAGAGAGATAAAAAACGTTAGAAGTTCGTTGAGTCTTGTAATTTGGAGTACTACTATTATAAGTCAAGGTCATTGTAATTTGGGAGATGAGTACTGGAAGACCGTCAGCACCAGTGCGGGGCATTATCGTTTTAAGGAGAAAGAGTCAAACTTTTATCTCGACTATTATCATTTTATTTCGTTCATTTTTGCAAGTCAGTATTTTGCCCAACTGCTTATTCATAAATTATTGCATGGAAAAATCATTATTTACCAACAATTTCGACTTCAAAACCTGGTCACTTGTATTTCTAGTTTGGATTTAAATTCCAAATCATATGGAACTTGGAAAATATAGCTAAAGATGATTCGTGCTGCCACGGGCCTAGACATTAACTATTGCAAATTTTGATTAATCGATTTAAATCGGTAAAAGAAAACAGAAGTGGACTTCGGAATGAAATTTGAATAAACTTTTTTAATCAATCAATCAGCATATATATTCAACAAAAAAGATGTCATATTACGACAGCTTGAAGACCTCACCACAGAGTTACAATTATAACAAAAGTTTCCTCATTATCAAATGATAGAAAAACATACTTTAAATCAATGATCCTGATTAAGACATCAAAGGGTGTCAAATTATTTATACACTGTGGACGTACAACTAGCTTTATTCTAATAAAATACAATCAATCAATCACCATGCGGATCCACCATACACCTTTGAATAAATTTGTAGGTACAAGAAATTTGCACAGAAAGGCAACTGTCTTCCTGTACAAAATCCGTGCAAATTTTCATGTACTTATAGCATTTCTCTACACCTCTAGTTGTACTCTTATACTATGCTATATGCATCATAATTTGTGAACTTTTACAAAATTACCCCATTGGGGTTAGTAGTTGAAATAATAATGAGACAACCTTTCAATTAGCAAAATGACTTCAGCTACTCAAGTGAAAAGTGAGATACCTGCAATAAAAGGTTGAGGCTATCTTTTCAATTGTACCTGCGACGTGAGAATTAGTTATCAGATTTAGCCCCTATTTGACACCCATTTTGGAGAAAAAATAAATTTTGGAATAGCAATTAATGGAAGAATGTGTGGTTAGAAAGTAATGAGAATTTTTGGGTTTATGTGTAGTATTATTTTATCGATAGAATGTGTGGTTAAAATGAAGAAAGAGCAAAAAAAATGAAAATGAGAAAAAATGGATGTCAAACGGGGGCTTAAGTGAAGGATGAATGACCTCAAAACGAGCCAAAAGAGAGAAGTCATAAAGGTATTGTGAAAAGGTAAAAAAATCCCCCATGTAGACTCGCATTTGGAGTATTTATAGGTGCTTGGTGCCATGTAACCGCTAAGCGGTTTTCGTTCATGTGTCTCTCATTCTCAAAGTAATGAAAAAACGTGAAGAAATTTTTTTAAAAGATGTACGATTGAAAATAAGTGTGAAAAAAAATGTTTTTCAAAAATAACTTCCACGCGAGCAGTATAAAACTTCAAACCAAACTAACATGATGGGTAGCATATCTTCACCACAACTAGTAGCATCACATATCGTGGCCATATGAGAATAGAAATGCTTCCCAGGGACTGTTGGAGTACTTGGATATGTATAATGAAAGTAGCCATACAATGCTTTTAACTCGTAGATTTTAGGAGAGTCTCTAATTTTTGTAAATTTTTCGAATCTTTTACATCAAATCGAGTAAGAAATGTTAGCATGCAAAAGACTATAAAAAGTTTCTTGACGCATAAGTAAAAACAGTATCGAAATTCATTGCTTATCATGACTCAAAATAAACAAATTATGGGTCTCACATTATAATTGTAATTTCTACTTTATCTACTTTTTAAAAAAGTATTGAGTGCATTTAAACAAGCACCAGTCAAGATTCAAAAAGCATATATCATGAATTTGTTCGAAGGAAGTGTTCTAAGCTTTTGTATGGTTCCCACTCCCCCATCTTACTTCTACACGAATTGAATGCAAGATTTTTAGAGGATAGTATCTTATCTTATCTTATCTTATACTATATTAAAGGAGGATAGCTCTGCAACAATGTTCCCGCCTAATTTTCCGCCAAGGAAGGGAAAAAAAATAAAGAAAAAGAAAAGAAAGAAAAAAATATCCCGCCCAAGAATCTTCAAACGCCTTAGCCTTCAAAATCTTCCACACAGCCATGCTTCTCCCAACCACCCACTCCTCTTCCATTTTCTCACGCAACCTCCGTTGCAAACTTCACCTTCCTTCCTTTCCACTTGCAAGGCAAATTCAGTCAAAAATAGATTTTTTCCTCCTAGAAGAATTTGGTAAACTCGTGCAGTTGGAACTTGTGTTTTGATTCATGAAATCGAGGAGACAATACTGGAAAATCAAAAGCCCAAGGGTAATGAAAGAAATTTTAAACGACGTAAGAAGAAATACCAAGTTAGTGAGTCAGACGATGATGCTCATTCACATAAAGTGAATGATGAAAATGGCTACTGTAATGGTGTCCTCAAAGAGAATAAAGACCAGGAAGCTGTTGCAAAGTAAGGACCAGATCTTCGTGAGAGAAATAAAACTTACCAGCCATCAAATGTGTAAGAAACTCTGCAAATTTTTGGTTTCTCCACACCCCTTGGAATTTTGTCCATTTTCTGTTTGTATTGTGATGAAGAAACATTATTTGCAAATTTTTGGGTTTACTACTATGACTTGGTTGTGTCAACCCACCAGAAAGATTTTGGTTTACAATGACATGAAAAATGAAAGCTGATCTCAAGGTGTTTGATAGAAGTCTTGAGTGACTTTGCATCTATTTCTTCCATTTTTTTGTATAAAGGTTTGTTCCAAGAATATAAAATATCATTGACTTATTTAATCAAATTTGTTCCAAGATTTTGGACGTAATATTGATTACTAAGCTTTAAAATGTGAACCCAGTGGGCATGGGCATTCGGCGGCCAGATAGAAGTCAAAACTCGCATGGGCATTCGGCGACCAGATCCTCCGCGTGCGGAGGAACGTACGGAGGCACCTGGTGCCTCCGCAGTTTGCTGGTGCCTCCGCCAGATCTCCGCGTGCGGAGGTTGCGGAGGTTTGGAACCTCCGTTAATTTAAACATGCAAAACAAAGTAAAAGTCATGCAAAATAAGAAAATTACATACATGCGAATACTGAAATACATTAACAGAGTTACGCAAATTAAGCAACGAAACAAAAAGAAATAATTAATTCAGGAACCCACCTTTACTATGAAAGCTTTTCCTTTAAAAGGCCACTTTTGGAGTTGGGTTATAAGTACTCAAAAATTCCTCCCTAAAAGTGGTGAAAATTCTCACGGCTTTCTCATTCAATTTTACCCAAAAAAACAAGATTTCAATTTTCTTTGAGCAAAACAGAGCAAGATTCTAAATGGGTTTTCTCTATCACTCACTCACTCACTCTCTCTCTGTTTCTCTTTTTCTGCAGATCCAAGAAAGAAAATGTAAATGATCAAAGATTGGGTTTGAAAAATAAAAGTACTAATGATTGTAAAGAAAAACCAAACACATCTTCATATAATTTTACATATACCAAAATTACATATGCATGTGTATTTCTGGGGTAGAAGTGTATATACACACTGATGAATATGTATGTATATGTATATATGTATTTAGCAGAGTGTCAACAGTTTGTGTGTGGGAGAGAGAGAAGAGAGAGAGTTCATTATTTGGAACGAAATAGGTGGAGAAAGTAAAGGAATATTGGTATTAATTTAATAAAAATAGCATATTAAACCACATTTGTATGTTAATTTAATTTGTGTATTTATATATTGGCAATGTTCCAATAAAGTCACCAAATTTTAGTTTTATTTCAAATCCAGACATTCGGTTAGATGGCGTTAATAAATGATAGGATTTGCCTGTGTATATTAAAATTAGACAGAATGCCACATCTATTCTATTTACTATATTAAAGAAGGATAGTTCCGCAACAAGTGTTCCCGCCCATAATTCTGACCTCCATCCCGTCCAAGATAAAAAAAAAAATCTGTTTCTTGAGTGAGAATACATCTCGACTCCCGCCCAGATTTTTTTAATTGAATACCGCCCAAAATTTTGAATTCAATCCCGCCCAACCAAAAGGCTTACTCCTTTTGCAGAGCTACTGTGAATAATTACTAATATGCAAGTTTCTGTGGTTTAATATTTGTCAGGTTCTGGATGAATACCAAAAGAATGTCGGCGATTCTTGGAAAACTGTGCAAGCTGATAACACTGGAGATGGTATTGATTTAAATGATGCTCTAACTAAATTTCAGGTATATAAGGTCTCTATTATGTTATTGGGTTAGAAAATGGATATGTTTTCACCTGTCAACTTAATTTGTTTATGCTTCGACTCTTCAGGACGGTAAGGGCAACAACTCAAGCGCATCTCAAAACCTGGAAGAAAACCAAAGCCTTCTTGATGGTAAGCGATACAACTTGCTTCAGAATTATCCGGTGATGAAAATTCACATTTGGGCTAAGTATCCTGACTTATTTGTCCTTTTGTTCATTTTCTTTGAAGTGGATATTTCATTTTTGTCGCTCATGTCCATGTTGTAAAAGAGAACATGTCCCCAAAAAAAAAAATATCATCAAAAAATAAATGGATTTCATAGGTCTTATCCTAATTAACATAATAATCTCCTGCTAGATATGACTGGGATGCTGAAACAGCAACTAACTCTCAATTAGCATATGTTCACTTAATATAAATTTGTGCATCGCACGGGTGAAAGACTAGTAGATGTTTAATAGGACAAAATAAAGAGATATTTTTGGACTTTTAAAATAAAGTTCAAATTATATACAATTTTTACTTTCAATTGGTGTCTACTTACTCATTTAAAATAGGTGTTCAGATTTAACAATCAAGACATAACTACCATACTTTTAAAATAGGTGTTCAGATTTTGTGTTCTTTGATAAAATGTTTGTGATTTATATTTGATCAAACATGTCATAGTCATAATAAACACAATTTATAATCGCGATCACATACTAGTTACAAAATCACACATGATTACAGTCACAAATCTCATAATTCATGGATTAAGCCAAAATCACACAATTAACAAATCATAAATCATTTATTAGTCACAAATCGCAATTAAATGATTACACTCACTCCACCCCATCCCACTTTACCACTACCAGCACTAGCCAAAATTTTCACCCCCACCTCAAATCCATAATCCAAGACTACCTTTTCCTCCGCCTCAAATCGATCATCACAACTCCACCATCGATTCATATCTGAGTGAAATAATCAGCAATGGCAAGCTCACCTCACCCCTACCCCCAACGAATCAGATCAAAGTGAATAGTCAGCATTGGCAGGCAAAGGAGAGAAACGAAGAGAACATAACACCACTTTTTTATGTCGCTCACCAATCCCGAGTGGCTAGTCATGGCAATGGACTGAGTCGGCTCGGCCCTTAAACCCACGAGCTCACGAGTTGAGCCGACTCGTGGCTCATTTGCTTGTGGGCGAGCTCTGCTCAACCCACAAGCCGAGCCGCGAGCCCATTAGCCTTTTGATTTATTATTTCTTTTTTTTCTTTTTTTTTTACTTTTTCTCCTTTTTAAAAAATTTTTCTTTAATTTTTCACGAGCTCGTCGTTTGACGATCCCAAGCAGCTCGCGGCTTGTGTTTTCACGAGCCGAGCCGACGAGCAGCTCGGCCCGTTTACCATCTCTACGAGTGGCTAATCATTGATGTCGCTAAAGAGAGAGAAATGGTTTTTGTAATTAGTATCCGATTTTGGAAAAATTCTTGGTAACATGAATTATGAATCATGATAATCAAATTTTAAAACTACGGACAATTTTCCCTTTAATATATAATTATTATCCATAGAACAATATTAATATATTCCTAATATACCTAATTTTCTATATAATTATGCACAGTCAAAATCCCGCTATTTAAAAAAAAAAAAAAAATCCAATTTTATTGACAAACAAATGGAACATGCTCAATTTAATTTAGTAAATATGCACCTTTAAATAATTTTCATTACAGTGTCAAGAATTACATAAAAAATATAAATAAGTATTTTATAATTAAATATATATTTAGTTCACTATTAATTTTTCTTTCTTAGTTTCTTAAAATACGGAAACGAGCAAGAACTCAATTCATTGTTACTTTTCTCTCTCGCTTTTAATTGAATAATGAGAATTTTTTTTAAAAAATATTACGTATCTCAAATTTAAATTAATATATCTTATTTTATTTTGTCAAAATATAAAAAAATGAGTTGGAACGCTGAGATTTATATTAATTTTTATTTTTAAAATTCATTAAAATTTGTGTCGATATAAATTGCAAAAACATAACTTGACTTTTCAACCAAGAAAACAGTCGATTTATTTTAAGTACACGAAATATGCTCTGGGATTAATGGTTAGTTTTGTCACATTTTATTTTATTTTGTTTCAAACGAAATTTAAAACCATATATTAAAGAAGAAATTACAAAAAATCAGAATTTTAAAGTTTCAATTTCAAAGTTCAGATATAGACTTTATTTATACAAAAATCAGATATTAATTCATCTATTTAATCTATCTTCTCTCTCTAAATTATAATTACCCAAACTTAAAACCATAATTTTATCTCTCTCTCTCTCTCTTGTGCCACCACTATGAAAGTCGTTGCTGCCGTCTGTAGTTCTGCTTTAGTTTTCTACCATCGAGCGGCGTTCTGAAGCAGCAGCGCCGCTGCGAAGACGCTAATGCTCCATAGCACCGATCTCGATCTGTTCAACTCTGGGTCTATGTTGATCGGCAATGTCAAACCAATATTGTGGGTTGTGATTTGTAGTTTGTGGTGAGCGCCGGTGATATTTGTAGCTTGTGGTTTCCGGAGATGAGCATCACTGCTGTGGTTTTTCGACGAGGTTGTGTTGGTGTGGGTGGATCTATTGTGGTGTTTTTTTGGGGTGTGTTTGCGCATCCGGTTGTTTTTTTGTTGGGGGTGATGGTGGTGTGTTCTGGCCATTGGTGAGATGGTGTGATGGTGGATCTAACACTATTGACGATGTTGATGGTGGATAATTTGTACTGATAATTTAAAAATCTGTGACAATCTAATAAGTTGTTGACGGCGTTTGTGGTATTGGTAGTGTTGATGTTGGTGTTTGAAGTGGCGGTGTTGTGTTGGTGGTGGTCACAAATGACTTTGGTTGATTGTGTTGTGACCAATAATTTGATAAATTGTGACCTAAATATAATATGTGATCAATTAATTTGATGTTTTGCGATCATAAAATAAGTTGTGATTTATAAAATTTGTGACTTATGACCAATAAATAATATGTGATTATTANATTTTTCTTTCTTAGTTTCTTAAAATACGGAAACGAGCAAGAACTCAATTCATTGTTACTTTTCTCTCTCGCTTTTAATTGAATAATGAGAATTTTTTTTAAAAAATATTACGTATCTCAAATTTAAATTAATATATCTTATTTTATTTTGTCAAAATATAAAAAAATGAGTTGGAACGCTGAGATTTATATTAATTTTTATTTTTAAAATTCATTAAAATTTGTGTCGATATAAATTGCAAAAACATAACTTGACTTTTCAACCAAGAAAACAGTCGATTTATTTTAAGTACACGAAATATGCTCTGGGATTAATGGTTAGTTTTGTCACATTTTATTTTATTTTGTTTCAAACGAAATTTAAAACCATATATTAAAGAAGAAATTACAAAAAATCAGAATTTTAAAGTTTCAATTTCAAAGTTCAGATATAGACTTTATTTATACAAAAATCAGATATTAATTCATCTATTTAATCTATCTTCTCTCTCTAAATTATAATTACCCAAACTTAAAACCATAATTTTATCTCTCTCTCTCTCTCTTGTGCCACCACTATGAAAGTCGTTGCTGCCGTCTGTAGTTCTGCTTTAGTTTTCTACCATCGAGCGGCGTTCTGAAGCAGCAGCGCCGCTGCGAAGACGCTAATGCTCCATAGCACCGATCTCGATCTGTTCAACTCTGGGTCTATGTTGATCGGCAATGTCAAACCAATATTGTGGGTTGTGATTTGTAGTTTGTGGTGAGCGCCGGTGATATTTGTAGCTTGTGGTTTCCGGAGATGAGCATCACTGCTGTGGTTTTTCGACGAGGTTGTGTTGGTGTGGGTGGATCTATTGTGGTGTTTTTTTGGGGTGTGTTTGCGCATCCGGTTGTTTTTTTGTTGGGGGTGATGGTGGTGTGTTCTGGCCATTGGTGAGGTGGTGTGATGGTGGATCTAACACTATTGACGACGTTGATGGTGGATAATTTGTACTGATAATTTAAAAATCTGTGACAATCTAATAAGTTGTTGACGGCGTTTGTGGTATTGGTGGTGTTGATGTTGGTGTTTGAAGTGGCGGTGTTGTGTTGGTGGTGGTCACAAATGACTTTGGTTGATTGTGTTGTGACCAATAATTTGATAAATTGTGACCTAAATATAATATGTGATCAATTAATTTGATGTTTTGCGATCATAAAATAAGTTGTGATTTATAAAATTTGTGACTTGTGACCAATAAATAATATGTGATTATTAATTTGATAGATTTGTGATCGATGAATAAATTGTGACGTACAAATTTTTTATTTGTGATCTATGAACAAATTGTGATCTATAAATTTTTTAAATTGTGACCGTAAAATGATTTGTGACAATTAATAATATGGAATTAATTATATGAAATTATGACCTTAATATATTTAATTAATAAAATATATGCTTAATTAATTTATAAATAAAATTTTAAAAACTCTGAAATTTAAAATTTTAAACATAATCTTTTAAATTTGAAATTGATAAAACTAAACATTTTAGTTACGAAATCTTCCCAATATTAAATATTTGTAAAAATTACATTTTATGTTCCTATTGGTGATTTGATAGGTTACCTTTTTTCTATTCTGGCCAACGAATTGACAGCATCCCACATTTTTACTTTTTAAAAGGATGAAATTATACTATTTCTACTAATTCTAAAGTCTAAACCACTGTAGCAAATTATAGAAAATTATCCAAATTTTAAAATAAATGAAACATGTTAACTCTTATTTGGACTCTATTTTAATGAGGTTATGGAAAAATATATTTTAAAATATTAATTTTTTTGAAAAATAATGAACTAAAAAATAAGAAAAAATATTGAATTTATTTATAATATTATAATTAAAAATGAGTTGTAAAAAAATACATAAATTGCACCAGCTAAGAATTTACCACTTAGCAATTCCGAGACTCCAACCCATTGGGCGCCACACGCGTGTGCCAACTGTACTTGTGTCCTTTCCCTCTTCATCACCCTCCTCTTTTACGGCAAAAAACACACATTACACACAGTAGTAACCCTTTTTCTCCTCCATTTTCGCCGTTTCATCTGCTCTCAAAGAACCTTTTTTCCCTACCCCGCCCCCAGTTCCTTTCTAGAACCCCACATTATCCTTTCTCCTCCATAAAATATTAAACCCAGTTCCTTTTATTTTATTTTTTGTTTTCTCTTCTCTGTATGCCAATTGTGTTAAAATTCTGCAGTCTGAATTTAACATAGACATGGGTTCTTTTTTTATGGTGTCAAAGTTAATTTTGTTCGCCTTTTTATCGTTCTTGGTCACTACTGGGAACTCCCAATCCGGTGATGCTGCGGTAATGCAAGAATTGAAGAAGAACATAAACGCGCCGAGTTCACTCGGTTGGACTGATTCGGACCCCTGCAACTGGAAGAACGTTCAGTGCTCTAAAAATGATAAACGGGTCACCCGGATCCAAATTGGGCGTCAGGGTCTCAAAGGGTCTCTTCCACCTAACCTCAATAATCTCACTTCTTTACAGTATTTTGAAGTACAGTTAAATGAACTCACTGGGTCACTCCCGAGTCTCGCCGGTTTGTCTTCGCTCCAGTCCCTCCTGCTCAATAACAACAATTTCACCTCTATACCACCTGATTTCTTTAATGGTATGACTTCATTACAGCAAGTTTACTTGGATTATAACCCCTTTTCGTCCTGGGGAATTCCGGATAGTCTTAAGAGTGCATCGACTTTGCAAACATTTTCTGCAAATTCTGCTAATATTTCTGGGCCGTTACCTGATTTTCTTGTGGGCGATACATTTTTGAGCCTGGTAAATTTACATTTAGCCTTCAATTATCTCGAAGGCCCTTTGCCTTCCACATTGTCTGGCTCACCCATACAGACTTTATGGCTAAATGGTCAGAATAGTAATTCAAGATTAAATGGTTCTATCGCTGTTTTACAAAACATGACTCAATTGACTGAGGTTTGGTTGCACGGAAACTCATTCTCAGGTCCCTTACCGGACTTTACAGGCTTAACCCAGTTGCAAAAATTGAGTTTAAGGGATAATAGTTTAACAGGCCCGGTGCCAACATCTCTGGTTGGACTGAAATCACTGATGGTGGTGAATTTAACCAATAATATGTTGCAAGGGCCAACCCCGAAATTTAGTAATTCAGTGCAGGTGGATATGGAGGAGGAAACTAATAGTTTCTGTTTACCTGGTCCTGGGGTTGAATGTGATTACAGAGTTAATATCTTGCTTTCTGTGGCTCGGGACTTGGGGTATCCGAGAACGTTTGCTGAGAACTGGAAAGAGAACGATCCATGTATATGGATGGGGATCACTTGTAATGGTGTGAACATTACTGTGATCAATTTTCAAAGAATGAGTCTCACTGGGACAATTTCTCCTAATTTTTCGGAAATCACATCACTGCAGAAGTTGGTTTTGGCTAATAATAATTTGACCGGAACTATTCCAGATGAACTAACCAACTTGCCAAATCTTAAAGAGTTGGACATTACGAATAATCATATTTATGGGAGAGTTCCAAGTTTTAGAAGTAATGTGTTTGTGAAGACTAATGGAAATGTTAATATTGGGAAGGATGCTCTGCCTACAAATTCCCCTGTTGGGAAGCCCTCTGGGAATTCACCTGATTCGTCTTCTGATGGTGGTAGAGGAGCAGAGGGTAATGAAGAAAAGAAATCATCCACTGGAGTGGTGGTGGGATCAGTGATTGGTGGTGTTTGTGCACTTGTCTTTGCCGGGGCCTTGGTTTACTGTTTCTATAGAACGAAATGCAAGCGTTCTGGTAAAGTTCAATCTCCTAATGCCCTGGATTTACATCCTCTTCACTCAGGGTCAGAAGATGCTGCCAAGATTACTATTGCTGGTTCAAGCATTAATGGTGGGACGAGTGAGACTTATAGTCACGGAAGCAGTGGTCCAAGTGATATTCATATTATTGAGGCCGGTAATATGATTATCTCTATTCAGTTGCTGAAAGAAGTGACAAATAATTTCAGTGAAGATAATATACTGGGAAGAGGAGGATTTGGAACAGTCTATAAAGGGGAGTTGCCTGATGCGACTAAGATAGCAGTTAAGCGGATGGAATCTGGAGTGATAAGCGAGAAGGGTTTGGATGAGTTCAAGTCTGAAATTGCTGTTCTTACAAAAGTTCGACATAGGCATTTGGTTGCACTTTTAGGATATGGCTTGGATAAAACTGAGAGGCTGCTTGTATACGAGTACATGCCTCAGGGGACACTTAGTAGGTATTTATTTAACTGGAAGGAAGAAGGTTTGAAACCACTTGAATGGACAAAAAGGTTAACCATTGCTTTGGATGTGGCCAGAGGTGTTGAATATTTACATGGTTTAGCACAGCAAAGTTTTATTCATAGGGATCTGAAACCATCAAACATACTCCTGGGAGACGATATGAGGGCTAAAGTTGCAGATTTTGGACTTGTTCGTCTTGCTCCAGATGGGAAAGCTTCACTTGTTACTAGATTAGCTGGAACCTTTGGATATCTTGCTCCAGAATATGCAGGTAATATATAAGTTTCTTGCTTCTAAGTTCCCACAGTTTATTCGAATACCATTGTATGATGCAGTCCAATTAGTATTTGAAAATTGATTAAACTTCTCGGTGGAATAATATCGATTTTTTCTGTATAGGTTTACAAGTTCAGTTACCGTAGATTTTTTTATTTGCTAATTGAAACTTGGTATTGTTATGAGCAATATATAGTTTGGGTGCATTGGTTTTGGATTTGTTGAGATGAAATGTATAGAGTATTTACATCAAGGAGTTCGTCCCTTGATAAACCTTTAGATCTCTTGTATCCTCTGTTTTGGGATTGTAAATGTGCTTCTTTTAAGTTCTCCGTGTTTCGTTATGTAATAAGAAATCGAGACATTAAATTAACTGCATTGCCAATGTTGTATATTTCCCCTATATGACAGTTATGCAGTGCCTCTTATGGATAGAAATTTACCTAGGTTTATATTTCCTTTCCATTTGCAAATATTTTTGTGTATGAGTTTTCCATTTAACTTTGCTAATTAATATTTGCGGTGCTTTTTTTTTCTCCAATACAAATCTAAGAATAATTTGTTCTTGTGTTTGGACAGTGACGGGTCGAGTGACTACTAAGATTGACGTCTTCAGCTTTGGTGTGATTCTAATGGAGATGATCACAGGAAGTAAAGCTTTAGATGAAACCCTTCCGGACGATAGACAACATCTGGTCCCATGGTTTCGAAGGGTGCTCCTCGACAAGGACAACTTCCGCAAAGCCATTGACCCAACACTTGATCTGCATGAAGAAACTCTGGCTAGTATCAACACCGTCGCTGAGCTGGCAGGTCACTGCTGCGCTCGGGAACCTTATCAAAGGCCCGACATGGGTCATGCAGTCAATGTGCTTTCGTCTCTTGCTGAACTCTGGAAACCAACGGAACCTACTGATCCAGACGACGTATATGGAATTGATTATGATATGACATTACCTCAAGCAGTGAAAAAATGGCAGGCTCTCGAGGGAATGAGTGGCATGGATGGTAGCACTGACAACACTCAAATGAGTATACCCACTAGGCCATCAGGGTTTGCAGATTCTTTTACCTCTGCAGATGGTCGATGAGATTAGCTGAAATTGAGGTATTGGTATGATAGAGGTTTGATTGTTAATTCCTTGGGATTTTCCTCCCTTCTCTTATCTTGACTTGTGTTCTTTGATTTTAGTACTTTGCTGGAGATGTTTTTATTGTAATATACCAGAATTTAATCCCTGCATTTTCTTCTTGGGCAATTTTGAAATGCAAATATGAAGGGGTTTTTATTTTCTCCTCTTCCAGCCTTTTAGGGGGAAAAAAAATGCTCCACACATGATGCTAGTAGGCCAATGTGTCACAAAATTAATTACTAAAATGATATGGGATCCTCATTTCTTTGTCATAATGTTTAGTGAATTATGTCAATCAAAAATAATAATTAAAACCATAAAATAAGCTAAAGTGTATAATTAATTAGTGTTGGTGATATCAGAAACAATGTTATCTTGTTTGATATATATAATTTTTTTTTTTTTTTTATCCTCGTGATCGGATTGATGTGACTAAGTGTATGATGACGATTGGTTGTGAATGTGCTTGCCAGCTTGATTTGAGCCCCCCCATGTGTTCGATAGTGCATATTATTTGTGACTTTTTGTTCCATATTTGGCGTATACATTGTGTATTTTTTAAGCTGTCTTTGGGGCCATTGGGAAGAGATTTGAATTAATATATAATGCTTAGCTTAGGTCTAAAGTGTATCGACAAGTTCCATGTCCAAAATATCATTTAATTGAGTTGTAAATAGGGTTGAGATGTCGAGTGTTGGGAGTGTGTTTTGATGGAATAAAAAACGGCTCAAAAAGATCAAGTGTCAATATCGATCGCTGACTGACATGTAGATTGCTCGAGCGATTTAACAGAGGACTGCTTGATATTTGTTGGAGACTACTCAAGCAGTCGTGTTACGTAGCGGAATCCTAGTTCGTGATTTTTTGGTTTTTTATAATCTCAAACAACCTCAAACACTTCATATCATAAATATCGAAGTTATAGTTTGTCCCTATTGTTGATTGAGCCTATTTTTATTCAAGAAAACAAAGTTTTGAAGATCAATTACATAATCCAAAATTCTTTTACATCAACCACGAGATCAAAGTATCAAAATGGCAAGAGAACAAACACCAACAAAATCTTTTACCAATAGCCTTTAAAGTTCCGAAGATCGGGAGAGGTAACATAAGTTTTAATTAGTGAAGAACGAGTTCATTCTTGGTGATCTACAAGTGGAAAGAAGTTCATATGTTTTGAAAAGTGCCAGAGCGCACGATCAAAAAGTTTTTCAGTAGATCTTTTACTGGCAAGGAGCGCCCAGTGGTTTTTTTTCTTTTTCTTTTTTTCAAATCTCTTGAAGGGTTCTTCAAGGGATTTTCCTTCATAAACAAATCTTGGTGTTGGATACTTTACTGTTTTGATATTTATGCTTGATTGATTGTTAATGTTTAAACTGACTTTAAAATTAATCTAGATACAGTAATTTGTGACTTGTTACATGTTATTGTTTGTTTGATTTTAATTTCACACGTTACATCTATTCACCTTGTCTAGGGATTAGATTGGTCGAACCTCAGTTATTTCAACAATGAATTTCAAAGAAAATATACAAAATAATTCAGTAAAGCAATACAAGTAATTCGGGAAGATTTTGACAATTAAGCTCATTAATTGATTATTTGAACGAAAAAATTCATATATGCATCGTTATAAAATATTATTTCATGTTTTACTATGTAATGTTTAAAATACTAAAAATATTCTTTTGTATATGAAATATATTAAAAATTACCGATTTCCAATAATAGAACCCAAATAACTTTTTTGTAACCGAAATGTTTTTAGTACTCCATCCTTTGCGCCTCCCATTTAATACCCCTTCCTAAAATAGAAAGTCAATTCAAAAATATGTATGAATATCAATTTGTGAGAAAATCTTGGTTTCTTGAATTATTTTGTTCTTCGAATATATTGACCGTACATCAACTAGACATCAAGATTTAATTTTAATTCACCGTCAAAATGGTTTGTAGCTAGTCCTAGAATGGAAAAACTAGTGCTCGACGGGAATCCCTTTTTCTTCCTTCTCTACAAGTCAAGCTCTCATCCCACACGAAAGAGAGAAAATTAAACTACATGACAGCACCACAAATAATGCAACAACCTTGTGTTCATCTATGCTATCTGCAATCTATCATTGAAACGGAGAAATGAATTCCAAAAGAACACAATAGAAAAATGTGACTCATTCTTTGATTTGTGTGATACTAGTACAGATTATATCTTACATGAAATATGTATGAAGATCAATTTGTAAGATCTTTTTTTGGGACACGTTCTACAATGAAATTGGAGCAAGATGACGACGTGAATCATTTTTTTACTTTGTGAGATTTCTACATATTACATCTCACGTGAGATATGTATAAAAATCAGATGGTGAGATACTTTTTGGGGTTTGGATGAAGATAATTCACTTTCTACAACGAAGATGAACATGTGTGTTTTTAGGGCTTTTTAGATAATTCATAAATGAGGGCGTGTTTGTATGAATCAAAATGTATTAGTTGTAAAGGCATGTTCGTAGGAATCAAAATGTATGGATGGTAAAGCATTGTTTGTAGGGGTAAAATATGTTACCAAATTTATTATTCTTCTGATTTACAAAGTCCCAATGTTTTCTTTTTACTATGATTTTATAGTATTTACTGGAAAAAAAAAAGTTTATAAAGTATTTTTTTAATATTTACTACAAGTAAGGTGGGGTGGTTGCAGTTTCCACTTATCCGAATCATATACAAGAATAATTGAGTTAACAAGATTAACTCTATTTGAGTTGGTTGTTTTTTTTTTTTTTTGTCAAAAACGAGTTTTGTAATAGTAATTTTTTGAAAAATATGTAGTTGAAAGTAAAAGAAAAAATTTGGATTTAAATCCAAATATATTTCATTAGAAGAACGTGCTATTAAAAAGAAAGAGAAAAATTAGAGAATGAAGCTCAAACAGGTGCTAAAGAAGACGTGTGAATGTAAAGAAAACGTTCCGTGTCTTCTTATTCACGCCTATTCTAGTCAAAGCTATTTGGATTATAAAAGGTCAAAGGTGATATTTCGTACCGAACGTCGAACACTGTAAAATGTTTTTATCATTTTTCTTGAGTCCCCGTTTGACCCCCATTTTGGTAAAAAATATATTTCGGAATATTTATTTTTTGGCAAAATCTGTGATTAAGAAAGAAGGAAAGAATTTCGATTCACGTGTAAAATTAATTTATGGAATAATGTATGGTTGGAAATGAGTTTTTAAAAAATTGGACCAAACGCTAGCTGAATTCCGTCCAAAGGGAAGCTCTTTGCTGTGCTTGTTGAGAACTATTGCTAAGGCCTCATTTGTATGGGTCGTTTGCTTATTTCATTCATAGATTAGTTCAGAGAGTGTGTGGTTAAAAAATAAGGAAAATTTTAATTTTATGTATAAAATTATTTTATGACATAATTTCTGATTGAAAATGAATTTTTGAAAAAATGAGTTTTGTGTGTAGGATGCACATGGGGTCTTTGGAGCATAAGTGTGAAAAAAAAAGTCAACATGAATAAGTAATTACTTATAATTAAATTCAGTAAACCGGTTTTAATTGTTATTATCATGATCGATTAGAACAAAATCATCCTGAGAGGATTATCCGGCATAACAGGTTGCCAAAATTATAACACGATAGATTTTTGCGTGACAATATAGAATGATAAAAGTTTAAGTATCAATAGTTAAATGTTAAGGTACATTCCTATACATTTGGTTTGATCCAACATTAACAAATTTGAATTAAAACGGACTGTATTCGCGCCTAATTTTTAGGTGGCGGAATTATGTTCGATTCGAAAGAATTAGGTTAGGACGGTGGGAGAGTGTTGTCCATGCCAAATTGTCAATTGATTCGATGTAATGTCGAATTCGAGGCGGGCCATGACCCATGGGTAGACTCCAAATATCCAACATCAACCAATTTCAACGCGATTTAGATCTATTCATTTCTATTTTTCATTTATCAGATTATTTACTTTCTTCTTTGAACTGAAATCGACATTTTGGCAGTGGCAGTATATGATGTGAGAGTTTAATTAAATTATTTATTTTTCCTTTTTTCATAATCACAAATAGAGCTTTATGATAAGATCAATGGAAGGTAGTACCTCCTAATTTAAGTACTCATGAGTTTCAAGTTCATTTGGTCATGCTAGTAGTTTGTGTATTTATAAAAAAGGGTTAAAACGAGTTTTTTTGTTTGCGTTAGAATATTTTCAAAATAATGTCGGGTTTTGACATTATTGGATGTATGAGTAGTGAAATCATTTGGGAAATGTTCGAGTGGTGGAGGATTGAAGAGCACGAGTTCAAGATACTACGATCTTGGTGGCTGCTGCCTATAGCACGAGGGCATTGGAGGGCGGCATGCAGGGATTCTAATGGCCATCCTCTGTGTTGTCGCACCTGTTCATGCTCGAGCCAATTTTATCACCTCTTTTCACATGGATTCAGTTATGCAATTGTAAATATGAAGTGGTGTGACCCTAATGTAAGGTTAACTCTCTGATACTGGAGACAAAGTTAACACTTAATTTTAGAGAGTTTCTAAATTGAAATGTTGATATAAAGAGTCTTTCATAGCATAATTTTAAAAGTTGACTCTTTAAAATAGAAAGTATCTTATGTTTATAGAATCTCTGGAAAATGCACTAAGCATATTATATAGGCACATATAAAAACAAGTGATGTTGTGGGTGTAGCGAAAAATTTTATGCATTTTTTTTTTTTTTTTTTTTGTAAAATTACACAAACTTCAAATATAAGCATGTGTCAAAATATTGAAATATACTTGTGTATATATTATTAGCATGTATATCACCTTTAATATTTGTGTCAACAAATTATTCACTTATTTGAGATTTGGAGTTCATTAAAAAATTAAACCTTCAAGAGGATTAGTTCAATTTCCTTATAAGTTCAAGATGATATGCATGTCTAGCTCAAGTAGGACTTTTGTTTGCAACTTCTCAAGAACTTCTCCTCAAATGAAATATCCTCAAGGCTCAAATGATGAGTATTGCTTTGATACCATGTTGAGGTTTGTAGTTTCTAATTAAATGGTTAGCATATAGAGAGGGACATTTTTTTTAAGAAAACTTTTTTGACGTTTATGTAAATGCTCGTTTGTCTTCTTGATTTTCCGCATAGAAAACTTATCGTTTGCATTTATTTTTTAACATTAAACTTGTTTATACTTTGTCATTTTGAAAGACGAGTATAGATCTTGAGTATAGATATCTTTAATCCTTGGTGTTTAAGTTGTGTTCGTGAATGCACAGTTCGGCAATACAGTGTCCTAGTCATATTCTGAAGGCATTTTTGATTCTTTATTGCATAACTAGATTGTGGAGGACACAGTGTGTATTAAGAAAAGCACAAATAGGTGCCTTGAAGTCGGATTTTTCAATGTTCAAGATTCTATAGCTTCCTTCTTTGTCTTCTATCCCTTTCTGTGATTTGTAGACTTTCACCACTCATTTTCATCTATTGATAAATATATTCACCGCTCATTTTTATCTATTAATAAATATATCAAGTATCGGTAATGTTATATGTTACTGTTTCGTGCGGGTTGTCTTTGCAGGCTTGGGCGATGATGTTACTGTGTTCGTGGACTTCCTCTGCATTCACTAATAACCTTATTTGGGCATTTATCCTGGACTCTTCAATTGGGTTTCACTCTTTGGGCTATTTAATTTCGGTTGTAGTTTTAGTGTGTCAACAGTTACTATTTTGCAAGGCAACAAATCGTCAAATATTTAATAGAAAAAATTAAGTCGATAAGTTAAAATCTACCATAGGAATTAGAGTTGGTAAACAGAACAAGCTATTCCAACCTAGTCAAATATTAGGTATTCAGGTAGACAAAATATGAACTTTGCTAAAACATAATACAAATGCATATTTGATAGGTAACATTTTTTGCTAAAAGTTAAAATTAAGTAAAAAAATAGTTAAGCTATTTTTCGTTTTTATGTAAAAAAGTTACTTATTTTAAAAATAATATTTACTTTAATGTCAAAATAATATATTATGTAAATGAGATATCTATTTAGATATATTTTGTTAATTTTCAAACAAATATTCTTACCTTATTGGAATTAAAAATCGTTTGTAAGGGACGTGAAAGTAATAATAGATTTAATTATTTTAGAGTATTATTTATAAATTTTATCTAAATACGAAGACTGGAAAAGGGGACGAAGACAAAGAACAAGAAAAAAATAAGCCTTTACAACAAGTGCACAGAACTCAATTGAGTGAGAATTAAGAAATGTGTCTTTTTTATTAAGTGAAATAAAATAAACATTTCTTCTTTTTGAAAACGTGCCTAAAGGAAAGAGGAAATTACATAAAATCAGACATTTAAGTTTATAAATTCAAAAATCAGATCTAAACTTTATTTAATAAAAAATCAGGTGTTATATTACAAACTCTAATTTTATTTCATTCTTCTCAGTCTCCCTCCCAAACCCTAATTTTATTTCTTTCTTCTCACTCTCACTCTCTCTCCACATCTTCTTTATCTCCTTCTCGTGCCTTCTTCCGATGCCACTCGATTCGTCGTTGCCAGGAAAAACTCTTCATCGTCGAAGTCAATGGAGAAGTCCCTTATCGGGTAGGAGCAGAGCCCGAGAGTACCGCTGCCACAGGAAATTGACTGTGGCACCGAGATCTACCGTCACGCCATCGCCGAACTCAATGGAGAAGTAGATATCGCAGCGTGCCTTCTCGGGACCACCTTGGTCGTGCTTCCCACAAAGCAGCAGAGCCCGAGAGTATCGCTGCCACATGGAATCAACGGCGGCACCTAGATCTGTCGTCGCGTTTTGCGCGAAGCGATAGCACTCGAAGGCGCCACCGCTGTGCCATTATGCCTGGTCTCGAGACGTGATGTTGGTTGTCGTTCCAGGTTATTGTGTTCGGTGTTGGTTGTTGTTTTTGGTGTTGATGGAGGTGATGTTGTGGTTGTAGTGGTTTGTGATGTGGTTGTGGTGGTGGTAAAATTTTAGGCAATTTGGTTGTGGTGTCATGGTTGTTGTGGAGGTGATTGTTAGTGGTTTGCAGATTGTGGTGTCGTGCTGTGCGTTTCTGTAGTGTTGGTGTTGGCGTTGGCGTTGGCGTTGGCGTTGGCGGTGGCGGTGGTGGGGGAGGTGGTGGAATAGCGTTTGTGACTAATTATTTGGTTAATTTGTAACCAATTATTGGTGGTGGATAGGAATCGGGGTGGAGTGTTTGGTGTATGTAACCAACGATTTAGTTTATTGTGACTAACCATTAAACCGTGACATTAAAATTCGATAATTTGTGACTAACAAATTTGAAAATATGTGATCGATACATAAACCGTCACTTATAATTTTTTTGATCTGTGACTAACGAAATAAACCGTGACGTATAAAATTTTTGATTTGTGACATATAATTATGTACATGTGACCATTAATTGTATAATTGTGAATTTATTGTATTTAATTATTATTATTTTTAATTAATTAACTAAATACCCGAGTTTTGTATTTTTTAAATGGGTTAATTTCATAAATGGTCACTGAAGTTACAGCAAAATAACAAAATGGTCACTGAAGTTCGAAACTTGCATTAACGGTCACTCAACTTTCAGACACTTTCAAAAATGGTCACTGAGGTAAGTTTTTGGACTTTTTTGTTCTAATTGAAACCTAAATTAACAAAAGACGGTCCATTCAAAATTGGAGGACCTGAAGTGCACTTCCCTTTTTGAAGAAAAACCAAACCTTCGCAGCTACCTGACAGTTGCGACACCGTGGCTGCATTTGAAGTGTTTCATCTTCGTCCAATGGCATCCTCTCATAAGCCACGTTGGTGAATGAAGCTGCGATGAAGATAACTGGTCCAGAAGCAATCAAAGGATCGACGACATTTCCTCCCACAACTTGACCTTGTCCACCAGCTAAATATATTGTCAAATTTGTGGCGCCTGGTGGCGCCGGTGGCTGCAGGAAGGAGCCAGAAAGGGATAAAATTTCAAACCCTATCCCATTCAGAAAGGGTAACTAGTAAAACCTTCACAGCCACTGCTTCCCACTTTGTTTCCCAGCTCCACCTCCAAAGACCGCCAGATTCTGAAGATGAAAGCAATCGAAATCAGTTTTCCGGCGAAAACGACGATAACTCACATCAAGGGATGGAGCTTGGAACATCCAATACAAGCTCGGGCGACATGGTGGCGAATCGGCAGCGCGGCCGTCCCCCGGGATCCAAGAACAAGCCAAAACCGCCTGTGATTAACACCCGAGAGAGCGCGAACTCACTTTGTGCTCATATTCTGGAGGTCAGCAGTGGCTGTGATGTGTTTGAGGCGGTGGCTGCCTATGTAAGGAAGAGACAAAGAGGGATTTGCATATTGGGTGGCACTGGTACTGTCAACAATGTTACCATTCGGCAGCCGGCATTGTGGTGACCCTTCACGGTGGGTTTGAAATTTTATCCCTTGTCCTTCCTGCCGCCACCAGTGTCACAGCCGCCAGGTAGAGGCAAAGGTTTGGTGTTTTTTCAAAAAGGGAATTTTCACTTCAGGTCCTCCAATTTTGAAGGGATCGTGTTTTGTTAATTTAGGTTTCAATTAGAACAAAAAAGTCCAAAAATTTATCTCAGTGACCATTTTTGAAAGTGCCTGAAAGTTGAGTGACCGTTAATGCAAGTTTCAAACTTCGGTGACCATTTTGTTATTTTGCTGTAATTTCAGTGACCATTTGTGAAATTAACCCTTTTTTAAATTTAATATCTGATTTTTGCAATTGTAAAACTTAATGCCTGATTTGTGAACTCTTCCCCTTAAGTATTTAGTAGTATGAGGTTCTTGTTGGGCTGAAATTATTCTTTAATTTGGGCTTTAAATTTTCTCTACGATTTGGGTTTGGATGTAAATGAAGTGGAAATTAGGCTGCGCCTAAAACGAAAAAAACAAAAATGAAAGCAAAAATGAGTAACTAAGAATTGTTTTGTTTGCTTCTTTTTAGTTTTGTAAACATCAAAAATTTATATGATTTAGCCCCTGTTTGGGGTCCATCATTCAAAAATACATTTTTATCTTTTTTAATTTTAATCACGCATTTTTTCAATAAAATAATATTACACGTAAATTCAAAAATATTATTATTTTTTAACTACACATGCTCCAAAATATTAATATTCAAAAAATGTTTTTTTTTTTTTTCAAAACATACATTTTTAATGGAGCCCAAACAAGTTTTAATATTTTTGAAACTGTATATTTAAAAATAAGTTAAAATTATAACATAAAACACAAAAATGTATATAATGTATATTATCTGATAATAACTTAATATAAAATTAAAATCAGAATTTTAGTAAATTTTAATAAAAGTTTATAAAATGTGTGGTTCAGAAATTGAGAGTTCCATAAAATATGTAGTTTAAATTAATAGTTGACTTTAACTCAGATTAAAATCTATACCAAACAAGGGCTCGATAAAACTTCATAAAATAATTTCTAAAAAAATTCAAACCAAACGTTTTGTTTGGTTTTATGTTTTGAGAAATAATTTTTCATAATGACAAATCAAACACTTTTTTTTCAATAGTTAGGAATGGCAAAGTGAGAAGTGGGGGAGCGTCACGACAGTCGTTCTTGTCCTTTGTCCCATTCGAATTTCTTCCCTTTGTCCTATCCCTATCCCCGTTCAAGGCAGGACTGGTGAGTAAGGGCTGGGGGTAAGTCCTTTACCCCATTTGCCGTCCTATTTACTTTTTATATTTTTTGCTTTATAATACCAAATTATTAAAAAAAATACAAAGCTCGCCACAACGTGGATTTGGTCATCTATGAACTTGAAACTAACAAACATTTTGTATTTTTAACTAAAAAATGAGGCCCGATACTCGAAGTCCATGATGTGCCTAAATGCGTATGGAGATTAATAGAATTTCTAAGCCATAATACATGTCAAACACCATTCAACCACCATGCAGTCTCCATCTATTTTATCGTATTTGATTTTTCTATTTATTTTCTTACGATAATTATTTTATATCATTTAACTATAATAAATGAATTCATGTATTATGTTCTTATTTTTGTGGAGAGTTACAATTGTAAATGTTGTATCAATTAGTATCGACTAAGAGGTTCAAATATTTATATCATGTTATTGCATTATAATTATTAGAATTATAGAATTTTGATTTATAATATTTTAATGACACCATTTATGATTTAAAGTGAAATTTTAGACTAGATTTATGATTTAACTTATTCGATATGTTTTTTTTGTTAAATCGTGATTTTAAATCGAAATCAAATCGAAAAAGGTGATTTGAATTAGTTTGGCTTAAAAATTGAAGATGTTTGGTTTGATTTGAAAAAAAAATCAATATGTTTTAAATGATATTGTTTGAAAATTTGTCATGAACTGTTCAAATCGAATTGTGTTCACACCTAACATGCACTGCAAAACAAAACTAGGGATGTGATATTGTTACAAGAACAAAATTATAGCAAAGATGCATATTCGAAAAAGAGCTCAATTGAAAAACATTTAAGTGAAAAAATTCTCAATATACATATATTAATTTTAATGTATTTAAGCCCCTGTTTGGCCCCCATTAAATTAAATTACATTACATTAAATTTTTCTCTCTCTTCATTACAACCACATATTCATCAAATAAAATTGAAAAAGTTGTTTATTTGATTCTTTTAAAAAGTGATTTTATTGGAGAATGCATGATTAAAAAATTGAAAAAGTAATGAGAAAAATGATTTTTTTTTTTTTTGAAAAATGTATGATTGAAAATAAGTGGAGAAAAGTGATTTTTAAATAATTACTTTTGAATAATAAATTATTTGAGGTTTTTAGTTTTTGTAAAATGTTTATTGTATATAACTATTTATGTTTTACATAATATTGAGGTGTCAAATGCAAGTGAAAAAGTTATTTGATTGATAAGATTTTGATTCAATTAAATCTCACAACATCATCTGTTGATTAACCATTGTGTAATTTGTTAGAGTAATGCTATTCATTGGGTTGAACACCAATCTAGATTGTAATTATATAGTATTAAATGATAAATGCATTTAAATGGCTCATTTAATTGGAGCATGTTTGGCTGAACTTAAAATTCAATTAAAATTGAAAATATAGTTTTTGTTGGGTCTCATTCGTCTAATAAAAGTCAACAATAACGGCTAATTTTTTAATTTTAATCTTTACCGAACAAGTCCTTGAACATATAAATTGTACAAGTAGAACAATCCATTTTTTTTAAAATACTTGTACAAAACTATTTTAGGCAAAGTATAATGCAATCCAGCAAAAAGAAAAATACTATTCGTGGGAAAACAACGTGGCACTTTACTATTCGTTGAAGACACGCGATCTTCCTCCCTCGCCGTTCCGATTTCAGTGTAACAGGCCCCAACTTGTCTTCCCTGTTGCACAATTCCACCGAAACAAGACCTCCTCCCCTCCGCCGAACACCGCTACCCATGGGGATGAGATCAGAAGGACGCAATCTCTCCTTCAAAATACTCTCCGTCATGGAAAACGGCGACTTCTCGTCCACCACCACCTCCACTTTTTCCCGCTCGAACTCCGATGCACCTTCCCTCCAAAACGATGACGCATCATCTCCCACTCATAACAACCGCAAGAAGAAGAAGAGAAAAAACAAAAGAGGAAAGATTTCCGCTTCTTCTCCGATTTCCGAGAACTCCGAAACAAACGGGAATATAAATTATAATATCCTTGGAGATGAATATGCGAGTAGAAAATTTAGTTATACTGTGGTGCAGACGGAGAGCGCCATTGTGCGTGTAGCGGAGAAAAGTGAGAATGATAGTGCAGTGAGTACGGCTACTGGAACACCGCTAGCGGGCCCGCCTATGTTTGGAGAGTTGAGGCAGAGGAATGTGAGTAGTGTGGTGAATGGAGGGGCTGATGAATTGCCAATGTCATTGAGAAGCGAGGAAAGTGGTAATGCTAATAGTGATAATATCGCGAAGGAAGAAGTAGATGAGAATCAGAGTGTTCTCAAGGAAAGTAATTTGAATCAACGAACAGAGACGAATGGGAAGAAATTGGAGAAGGAAGAATCTTTAGACTGGAAGAAATTGATGTCTGAAGATCAAAATTGTAAGTGGATACTCATCCTTAATAGTGAAGTTCTCGATTTCTGTCTAATTTTCATGCAGGGATGGTTAATGCCTTCAAAAATTGTTACGGTGCAAAGTGCTATTAAAAGTCTGATTGTTGTTTTTAAATACAATCAACACTAGACTAGGTTTGCTGCATTTACAGAACTTCTGAGGAGTTCATAGGAGTCTAAAGATTTATACTTTTAGCAGTAGGAATACATATGATTTTCTCAAGTCATTGTAGAGGATCAATTTATGGTGAAGTGATTTTTTTTAGGTAATTATGTCAGATTATTGATGATGGAGGACTTGAAGATAATATAATGCATAAGAGAGAGTTGGATAAAGTGGGGTGTGTTAAATGTTTTCTATGTCATACGAAAATAAAGTTACAGTTGAGTTTTGCAAAATGCAAACAAAGCAGGATACTAAAAGGACAAAATGTCAATAAGATGTTACAACAGAAATGAAGACGTCAACAACATAAGTTATTAAGGATTATGTGAATACATACAAGTTATCAAGGATTATGTGAAGGCATATTGAGAAGATATAAAAGAGTCCAAATTGAAGCGTAATGAGATTTTTAGAACAAGATGTACCATCAACAATAAAATATACAACATGATAATAGATCATGAGAGTAGTAAGAACTTGGTATTCAAATCATTGGTGAAAGCTTTAAATTCGAAAACTGGAAAATACTTATCTTGCTATCAAACATCACAAGTTAATAGGGGGCAAGAAATTCATAATATGAAGGTACGTAAGATTTCACTCTCTATTGAAAAATACTACAAAGATGAGATTATATGTAACGTTGTAGAGATAGACGATTGTCATGTACTTTTGAGGACTACCATTGTACTGTAATGTAGATACCACTTACATAGGTCGAGATAACAAGTATGTGATTTGGTGGTACGATAAGAAGATTGTTTTGGTGTCATATGATCGCAATTTGTGAATACCAGTGTATAAAAAGAACAAAAGATTTGTAAGGCAAATGATGATAATAAAAAAGAAGTTATTCAAAATGATTCAAGATGTTGCCAACCAATAACCATGATTCTACAACAGAAAAAGTAAAGCTTGTGCAAGTTGAAAACCCAAAACCTGCTCATCCTTTATACATGGAAATTGACAATGAATAAGTGTAAGGACGAAAAACATTATGGTGAAAATTGAAATTAGCAATTAAATACCCCATGATCAAGTTGCACTCTGATGATGAACAAATTGAAGTTCAAAAGAGTCCAGTTGAATGAAATTTGCTAATCACAAAGGAGTCAAATGTGAGACTTGTCAAATTAAAAATAAAAGTTTTGTTGATCTTCTCTGCTATTAGACTGCCAAAGAATTGTATAAGCACGAAGAATTGAAAACTCCTGTTTTTATAAATGTAAAAAGGAGATTCTACAATGAGAGATTGAAGAAAGCATCTGGACATTATAGTACAAGATGAGAAGTATGATGAATTAGATAGCACCAGTGGCCTCTTTCGAGAGTAGACTCAAAGATGTGAAATTGAACCATGCTTCATTTAGGAAGGAATATCACTTTGAAATTATTTGTAAAGAAAATATAATAAGCATGATAGGAACAATGTTGACTTTAAACAATGCAGTTGGAGAATATAACGACGGTTGTTGAGCGCATCAAGAAATGGACATTAAATGTCAGTATCGACTGAAATTTTTGAGTATTTTCCCTCCTGATTTTCTTTTCTTTAACCAAACTCGAGGACGAGTTTTTTTTTAAAAGTGGGAGAGAATGATGTGAGCCAATCCTATTCTAAATATGATAAAAGTTAGATATTTATAATAAGATGTTTATTTGTAATATGTTTTATCTTTTTATTTCTAATTTCTTTTAGATTAAAATTTTATATTAGTTTCCTAGGGCTAGGGGATTCGAACAAAAATATTCCATCCAGGACCCCTCACGCATAGAAGAAATAACTACAATGTCTTATGCAATTCATACAGGCACGCATGAATGACGAGCGAAATTCTATTCATTAGCCTTAAAACCTCCTGACACCGGCTATGGAAAAGGAGCTTTTATTGTCCATGCCCTAGCCGTTGCTTCCGCTGGATCATATTAATGAGATTAGAGAATAATTTTGCCTATATATACATAGGCTTTGTACACTTTTTCAATCATCAATTCAATGCAATTAAATTATTACCTACATAGTTCTAGCTTTTTACTTTATTCTTATTTCAAAAATTTCAATTTCAATTCCGCTTCCATACCATAAACCTAAATTAATATGGCATGTTTTGGATGCCAATGATATGATTGCTTTGAATTTTCTAATAGATGTAAAGATGGGCTAGACAGAGTGATGAAAAGACACATCTTACTCTAAATCTATGAGGATAAGGCTTAATTTGTTGTTGATCATAGATTGCCCAAAAAGTCCCCTTTAACCACTCAAATCACTATAAATATAAAAGACACAACAAGGGAAAAGAGTACGACAATTGAGGAAATAATAACTACAATGAACCTAATGAAATTGCTTTAAGATTTTCAAGCAGCTTAATGCCTAATGTGGTTCTGAATAATTTGAGAGCAGCTGTCTTGGTCAATGTTGGAAACATTCATTTGACATTTTTATGGAAGATTAAGCTCTTGTTTGATTCCCATTATTTTTAAAATACATTTTCTCTCTTTTCTTTTCAACTACACATTTTTCAATAAAATAATATGACACACAAACCAAAACTTTTCCTTATTTTTTAACCGCACATTCTTTATCTATCTACTATTCTAAAATACATTCTTACTATGAAATAGGAAACAAACAAGCTCTAAATTTCTCTACTTAAAAGGGCATGCATCCATCAACCTGGCTCGTTAAGTATTGATGGATCATGTGGTATTGGCACATTAGCACCATAAGTGCATCTCCACAATTGATACAACCCGTAAGGCTAAACATTACAGACCCTCGGTAGGTTGTTCTTCTCCCTGAGCTACAAGCTTGAGGCCACTTCAAGGGAAGCAAGAATTATGCTGCTTGTTTTTTTATGCAGTTGCACTTATGTTTATTTGTTATTTTGAAAATTTGTTTTACTAAAGTCGTCTCTCTTTTGGATTCTACAGAGCTAAATTTATATTCTCCCCATGAAAGTGACATGCAATTTTTCCTCTTTTCTTTTAAATACTTTTCTCTTGTATAATTTAATGGTTGGCAGCAAAGAGAGTTGAATCTCTGACACATTCTTACCTGTTAGATGTGCTCCTATCCCTTGGTGCTATATTTTGTGCTACTGTTCTGTAACACCAGTTACCTTTAAGGAAATTACTGGTGAATTTCTTCATTGTATATAAAAAATGGAATGGGATTATGACTATGCACCCCGGTTCTAACCTTAAAAGATCTGACATTTTAACCGAATGTCCTTATAGTCTAGATCTCGTGTCTCCCTATGCTTTTCCTCCCTTTTCACTTTATCTTTCTAGATCGAGCCCCTATTTGGTATACATTAAAATTTTCATTCTCATTCTTCTACTCATTTTTAACAAACATTTTTCAATAAAATAATATTTTCCATCACATTAATAACTTTTCCTTTTTTTTCAACCACACATTTTCCATCAATCTGTCATTGCAAAATACATTCTTCCAAAATAATGTGGCTCAAACACATCCCGAGTAACATCAAAACTCAGTCATACTAGGTTTTGTTGGCAACAATGTAGTGCTAGATGGCAGATGAATGACTTTGTTGCATTTATGGTGACGTCTGATGAACAACTATTTTTTTAAAAAAATTTTGCCCTCTTTTGGAAACAAATTCCTTACACATCAACGTGATTATAACAGCACGTACTCTAAATGTTTCGGTGACTAATGGAGTACTAAGTGTACTAAGAGAACATTTTTTCCTTTTTCTATCAATGTTTTGTATCCTGCTCTCAGTTGTGTTGTCAATATCTTTTGGCAGACGCATTTCCTGTGGAGAAGTCCCCAGTGAAGTACTTCATGGAAGAAATGCATGCGGGCAATTCCTTAAGGAGCACCACCATTCCTGGCAATGATAAAGAGCGAGAACGAGTTTATGATACTATATTCCGCTTGCCATGGCGATGTGAACTTGTAAAGAATCTATCTTGTCTTTAACTAGTATAGTAGAAAACTTGATATAACATTCTCACAACATACAGTTAGTTGATTGATTCTCTTTCTTGAACTACGTCGCACACTACTTCCATTTTATGTTCTTTCAGTGTTGATATATCACGTTTCCGGTAGTCGCACTAAATGTTATTGAATAAGACAAAACCATACCTCATTCATGCTTAGGAGGGAGCTTTTCAGGGCAAGGTCCATCTCTCTCTCCCTCCCTCCCTCCCTCCTGAGGGCCGGTATTAAGCTTTAGCTCTTCTTTGCGGGGAATACTAGATATGGTGTCTATTACTATGTTAATTTTGGAGTATTGTCATTATTGGACTGTGAAATATGAACATGCTTCTTGCAGCTGATAAATGTTGGATTCTTTGTCTGTTTGGATTCATTTCTGTCACTGATGACCATCATGCCAGCAAGGATAATCACATGTTTTTGGAGGCTTCTGAGAACCAGGTGAGTTCTATCTGCTTCTTATCATTTTAGTGTGGAAAAGCAGAACATAGTCACTTCAGTAATAGCAGTTCACTTATGTCAAGTCTGTTTTACCGTAAACTTTGAATTGATGGACTCGAAAGGTTTGGCAGGAGATGGGATTTAATATCAATTTCCTGTAGTTAGGATATCCATGGAAGTGTATGAATTTAGTAGTGAGAATAAGCTTCCACGAACTTCCTAGTTAATTCACACCTTTCACACTAGTTATTCACCCTCCATCTCCCGGGTGACACGAGACTTTTTATCCCAAAATTTTATCAGAGGGGCTACGAAGCACCGATACTTGTAAACTCGTTATGTACCTGTATTCGATATGTACCAGATACTTATTTTTTAATTATTTTATATATTTTTATATTTTTAAAATTTTCGTTATGTATCCGATACGGATTTTTTATACATTTTATATTTTTGTATGATCTTTGATACGTATCCGATACGTATCAAATACGTATTTTAAAGTTATTTTAATAACTAATTGAATTTCAATAATATTTATTGAAAATACACAATGAGAGTTTTAAAATTAACAACTAGACCTTTTATGGAAATGCACAAGATTATTTAATCTTTCAATACATGTGAATCCGTATGATAATTGACAAATATATTTTTATTATTGAAAATAGATAGTGACTAATATTAAGTAATACATGTAAAATTGTGTTACATTAATTCTATTATTGAAAATAGATAATGATTTAATATATGTAAAATCGTGCTAATAAATTAGACATTAATATGGTTAAACTTCGCTATATATTTAATATCTTTAAATAAATTTAATTATAAATTATTAAGAAAACTATCTTATAAAATAGTAGATAATGGAAAGCACTTTAAAACTTAAAAAAGTAAAACATATCTTCTTCTCAACTGAATGACGAATTATGTTGAGTTTTTATAACACGTATCCGCATATCCTAATTTTTAAAAAAAGGTCATATCAACATATCTGTATTGTTTCGTATCCGAATTACGTATCTGTATCTGTGTTTCTTAGGATAGGGGAGAAGGTTTTCAAGTTATGTTCACAAAGATAAGAGTAAGAAACATACATCTATGGCATGAAACTGATTTCTGGATGCTCTTGTATATGGTTTATCAACTATATACCCATCATGTGCCGAGACCACATTGCACGCCAACTCTTGGTGTGCTGGACATTTTAGATAGTAAAACCCAAATAAAAGTTCTTAGTTAAAGCTTCATAAAATTTGAAAGGTGCGGTACATATCACACCTTTATATATTACCAACATTCAACTTAAGTGCCTCTTAAGGAGGACTTGGGTTTGAATCGTTGGGGACATGAAATTGGGGCCCACCCCATTGGACAGTATGTATAAAGGTGCGACACAGGCCAAAACTCACAGGGACCATGTCGGGGCTTGATGGCTGAATCCGGTGGCCATAGTTGGGGGACAAATTACATGCAGTATATTGGAGAAATGTGTTTTGATAAGTTAATTACTTAAGGTATCTTACAGAATACAAATTAATTTGGCCACTTCTTTGGCAGGCAGTTCAAGAAGCTTTCATCAGCAGAGCTATCTGATCTTGGCTGCTTAGTTGTCCTGGTTACTGGAGTCGCTCTATTACAACAAACAGGTTTAGTAAGGGGATTTATTCTATGACTTCTCTTTTCAAAGAGTTTGTATGCTTTCCTTCAATACACAATTATAAGATATTATTTGCTTCAATTTTTCTCCTGACATATTTTTCATATAATTTCTGGTTCAGATATTAGCTTAATTTATCACATGATCCGTGGTCAAGGAACAATTAAACTGTATGTGGTGTACAACGTGTTGGAGGTAGGTAATAACAATCTAGACTGGCAAGCTTATGAAAAGTTCAATGTGTTATTGCATGAGGGACTTCTCATCATAAAATCAATTTACTTAGGTTTTGTGATGTGTACTTCTCTATTAACAACAAGACAAATTTGAATATTTTTCATTGAAATAATAATAATTAATATTGTATGGTATTAACTATTGTTAAGGGAAAAGTGCATTTTACGTTACGCTTGTATGTATCCACTTAGATTTATCCATTTTGATGTAGTGACCATCTGAATTACAAGCTTCATGATCTTTACCTCGAGACTTTATTTACATATCTTCTTTCCTTCTCCCCTCCCCCCTTATATGCATACAATCTGGACCCCAGAAACTTGATCCAAAGCTTGCAGCTGCTGGGAAGACTAATGTTTTTTTTATCCTTTTTAATATTATTATTATTATTATGGACTTTTTTCTTTCTCTCGCTCTCTTTTTAGCATGCTATATGTTAATTTAAACAAAGATAGGTTTTAAGTCAAGTAATCAAATAGCCTGATCTATGCTCACCATTAATTATTCTCTTGATTACCTATAGTAAGAAATAATCCTTTTTATACTTTAATTCATGTGTATAATTAGCTGTCAAAGCTTTAAAATCTTCTATAAATTCTTGGAGAAACAATTTCCTCTTGAAATTTTAGGATAATGGAGAAAAATAAAAAGAAAATATCTGGATAATTAATAGAAAATATCTGGATAATTAATGAAGTGAAAACTGATTACACATTTGAAAGGTGAAACTGCTAAAAATATGGGAAAAATCCTAAAAGAAACATTAATCATATGTTAAGTTACTTGAGAGCAACAATTTTCGTCCTCTCCCGTGTCAGCATTCTCATAGAGTCCAAGACAATTTCTATGTTGTTTCTTCAGTTGTATTTTTACTTAGACTGATGGCTGGTCCTACATTATGTGTTTGACGTATGAATGTGATACTTTAAATATACTTCTGATTTTTTAACTTTTTGTCCACTTAACATTTCCTCAGAGCTATAAGTTTCTGCAGTCGTTACATGGTTTGAAGTATATATAAGCTAATTTATGCCTTTGGATTACAGATATTTGATAGGTTGTTTCAAAGTTTTGGTGGTGATGTAATGCAAGCTCTATTTAATTCAGCAGCTGGACTCGCAACTTGTTCACCTGATAACATGCAATTCTGGCTTTGGAGATTTATTTCAGATGAAGTGTTAGCAGTGGCTTCTTCAAATATCCTTGCCCTGCAATTCCTAGCTTTGTCTATATAAACAATTATTTGCTTTTGAACCATCGTAGTTCCTTAACTGTGAACACTTGTTCATTCATTCGTCCTGTTAGCTCAGGCCATTACTTTGTCGACCTGTATTGTTGCACATAATAATGCACTGTTCGCTATGCTAGTTTCTAATAATTTTGCCGAGATAAAAAGCAACGTGTTCAAACGATATAGCAAGGCCAACGTTCACAGTTTGGTATATCTTGGTGAGTTATATACTTCTTCCAAATATTCTTTATTATGTTCCAATGCCTCGCCATTATTTGCTGTGTTTTCTCATTTGGTGGATTGGATGGTTAATTTGGTCCTACAGTTGATCTTTTTGTGCTTAATTGTGTACTTTTGTATGTGCCATATTTCATGCAAACTTTTTGAATGCCTAGATTTGATTTTGTTATTAAATGCAGATACTAAAGTGGAATTAGAAATGGGCAGAATCAAGAATAGATCCTTCTGTCATCACCTATCGGCTACAGCTCGGTTCTTAAAAAGTGAATCAGCTTAATTGTTTAGGCTCTGAATCCATACTGTTATATCCTAAAATCCTTCTCACTGTGAATTTTATCTAAATTCGAGTAGGTTCTATACTCAACTCTGAACTTCTTTCACTTTTCTGTCTTGTGTACTTGGCTCAAGTAATGGTATCTTACTTTAGAGGCATTTGGTCCTACACCAACTGTTATAGCACAATTCTTGTCATAGGTCAAGCAGTTTTCATAGTCCTTTGCTTATACAAATTAGTGCTTTGTGCTCTCTCATTTATACATAGGATTAGTCCCTTTTTTGGGGGAAAAAAAATAAAAATGAAAATGGAACGCGTGTGTGATTTTTTAGAAACATCCCGGGCTGCGCTTTATATTTTGCATCAGTAGTCATATTCCCCACTCCCCCCTTTTCTTGTTTATTTACTTTATCCTAATAATATTCACATTTCCTTAATTGAAAATTCCCAAACTCTTTTTTTGTGCTATGGTCATTGCTTATTGCTTTTGTTAATCTTTGTGCTTAACTACAATGCTGTTAGCAGTTTGGTCTTATATTTTATGGTTTTATTGTATGTTTTTTAAATATTCTAGAACAATGAGTTCCGGGGTGTCTAACATTGATTCTTTACTCAAATTGCCATGAACAGATTCAGTCGAGCGGTTCCATATTTTGGCATTCATCTTGTTTGTTTTAGCTCAAAATATCCTTGAAGCTGAGGGTCCTTGGTTTGAAAGTTTTCTTTCTGTAAGTAACGAACGGAAAGTACGTTACATATTTACATGTATAAAGTAATTTGACTTCCGACCTCAAAAATTTCTTTTGTTCAAATCTTGCAGAATGCACTAGTTGTTTACTTGTGTGAAGTGATGATTGATGTAATAAAACACTCTTTCATTGCAAAGTTCAATGACATTAAGCCTATTGCGTTCTCTGAATTTCTAGAAGATCTCTGCAAACAGGTATGTCTACAAATTGCACGTAGCAATATTCTCTCAGTCCTGTGCATATTAACTTGCTTCCTTTAGCACTTCACTACGGCACTAAGAAATTGCAAAAATCTGATTTTTAAATTTTCTCGAGCAGACTCTCAATATTCAAACAGAGAATGAGAAGAAAAACCTCACATTTGTTCCCTTAGCACCAGCTTGCGTGGTAAGCACAACTTGTAAATATTGCTAGTTTTATCTAAAGCAGTCACCCTGAGCTTGATTGTGGATATTGTTAAAGCTCTTAAGAGCTTTTTTAGCTGTGCTTAACAAATCAAACTTATTTTGCAAATTTCAAAGCTTCTCTGTATACCTACACAAGAAAGTTTTAACTTACTTTCTGGAAAAATAACTTTTTATGCATGTTCTTAGTAGCTCAAAAGGTGTGAATTTTCTTATTTTTACTAGAAAAGTACGCTTAATGCCGAAGTTAGATATTTGCATTGATCATTTTTTTGTCTTTGATTTGAAATGAAGCTTGTGTTGTATTCAGGTAATTCGAGTACTGAGTCCAGTATATTCTGCTTATCTCCCTTATGGTCCGTGTCTGTGGAGACTCTTTTGTATGTTTGTATTGTTTGTGCCGACCTTCTTGATGCTCGCTAGTCTTAAGATGATGATTGGCATGGGTCTTCAAAAACATGCGAGGTGGTATGTTGATAGGTGTCAGAAAAGGAAGCTCCATACCGATTAAGGTGGTCAACGACTGAATCAAAACCTCAGCTCTGCTTAATCGGGACGTCTATATTCGCTTGATGGTTTGTCTGAGTGCTACTCGTTAGTTTTTGAGTTAAACAGAAAAGCACGACCTCAAGTGCTATGCTAAACCAGCAGTGGGTGCTTAAAATCATCCTAAAGTACAAGTGTTAGCACCTCTTCCCAATTTTGTATCAAGATAAAAGGCAAGATAGAGATTGTGATTGATGCATATATAACATGTGGCTTAATGTTGTTGCCCCTGAATGCCACAAATTTTGCTGGTAATAAATGTAATGAAAACAATAAAAAGTTTTGTTGGGAATTCGGTTTTTTCTTTTCTTTTAGTAATCTATCAAATTGAAGATTTGAGTATATTATTATTTGTCAAAAAAGTATTATGGAAGGAATTAATAATGCCAGATTGTTGGCCGGGATGAACTATCTAGCCAAGAGAAACAATGAACAAGTAACCAATTAAGTTTATCATTTTCTCGAGGACAAGTGACCATAATATCATAAACATAAGATTACCTGATTTATATTCTACGATAAAAGTGACTATTTCATTGTGGTGTTGGCATAGACGTCTACCATGTAATCAAACAAAGAGCGTGTTTGGCAAAGCTTTTATTGAATCGTGTATTGTGTGGATAATAAATGCATAAAAGTAGGTTTTATTGGGTAAAAATAGAATTTGATCAACTTACAAGCAATTATAAATTTTGCCAAATATACACATAAGGATATTTGGAGTGGTTTTGATATCCTCGCACAAGCTAAAAATCAACTTTATGAGAAGTACAGTGACAAATAGTTAAAAGAGGAGGTATAGTCTTTCTCGCTAGCACCAAATCACTAGATGTACAAGGAAAATTACATTTTACTATATAATGTCAAGTATAACCACAATGTTCTTTTAAAATCTTCATGAAGCAAAATTCTTAAATTTTTCTGCAGAAAAGTATAGAAGCCCAAGCAACTTCAACATCAAATGATCACTAAACATATCAAAAGTTGATAATCGTAAACATTTGATTTCTACTTTTGCCACAGTATATTTTTGCTTTTGACAACATTGCTCTTAAAATAAAAAATTTAAGTATTTATATTTATAGGAGACTAAATGAAAAAGAATTAGAAAGAAAAACTCTATAGGATCTCTCTGGGTTGTATATTTTGTTCGGTTTCAAATTAAGCTGCTGGTTCGTAATTATTTTCAATTTCATAATTTCAAGTTGGTAATAGCAATTCTTAATCCTATGTTAATGTCTCTGTTATTTGTTGACTAGCTGTTCGGAAGTTAGTTTATGGAACAAATCATGGGCGTGTTTAATAATTAAGCCATTTATGTTCCCTGATATATTCCGCTTTTTTTTTTTTCCTTCAATGAAGAATGGGTTTTTCCAATCCATTATCAAACATCTAAAAAATTTGATAATCATTCTGCTGGTAAACCGTGAAATTTAAATGGTTTTACTGTCAAATATATAAAAAACTGATTTCTAATGTAATTTAAATAGTTTGAAATTGATGTGTATTGTACTGGGAATACACTTTCTTCGCAGAATTTTGGAGGAAAAGTAGGATTTGAGATGGGATTGTCATCTGGGAGCAATGCTAGTGAAGCGGTGAAACTATGTGTATTTGATTTGAGAAGGGGGCAAAATGAAGGGCAGGAGTTGGACAAGATTCTCTTCTTCTATCCTGTTGATTTGCCATTTACCACTCAGCTCTCTGTCACTGGCCTCAGTGAAGGACTCATTACTTTCACTAGGTTATTACTTGGACACTCGTTTTTATATATACTCGTGTATTTACTTGTACATAATTATGATACTAAGCTACATGCTTCAAGAGGAGAAAATTTCAATCATGGTGTTATGAGAGTGCTGGATATGCTTGATATGTTGTTTGAGGAACTTCGCTTGTTTTAATGCTGTACCTTAAAGTTTGTTCTGCTGAAGCTTCAGTTTTTCTGCATTAGCATGATTGCATGGTACTGGGGTCATTTGGGATTAAGTGAGTGTTCCACGTTGAATTGAAGAGTTTGAGAGACAATTGGACTTCGTTGTTGTATTGGTTTTTACCTTGAGTACCCACAACAAACAATGGTATCATGGGATTTCTACTTTAGTTCTTCTTGGCTGAAGCTGCAAAGAGATTAATCCTTTTAGAAGCTGTGGAGAGGACATTGTGTAGAATATACTACAAGTTTATTTCTTTTGTCTATTTTTCAACCTTGATAATAAATACAAATCGTCAACTATTATTAATGGTTTTAAGTTATTTATGAATAAAAAGAGACAATATCCTTTTATTTGACGTCAAACGAAAAGTTAAAAGGGGGAAGAGCCTTCTAGTCTCCTAAGTTGAACGTAAAGCATTTACTTGATCAATCCTTATCTTTTACGGTTTATCCTCTTTTGGCGGTGGCATACTCATGTTTACTTGTTTATATTATGACTTGTAAGTTCGTAAGAGGCCTATTGGCTCCAATACCCTTAAATCTTCTATGTTCCATGCCACATTCTTCTTAAAGTGGGTTTAACCAGGACTTCTTCCAGTGGGTCATTGTATTGAACATCAATTTCATTAAACATTTGATTAAATATTTTCAATCTAATAAACTAGTTATTTTTGGTATAATATTTGCTAAAAGAGGAAACTACACTACAATGGTGAAAATGCCGAAAAGTTTAAGTGTTTACAATAAGACTATTCCTTGAGTATTTATTAAAGATGCATTGAGACTTCATTAGTCTTTTCCAATATAAGTCGTGTATGTGCTAAGGTATGGATATGATGTTAAATTCAAATTTGAAAGAGAACATTAAAAATGCCATTGATCTATGACAACCTAAAATAAAAGCTAAATTTAAAACTACAGTAGGAAGTGACAGAGATATACAGCTCTATGACATAATAAATTTCCTTCATTCTGAAAACTTGGATCTTAAAATTAATTTTCCAGGTCTATGATATAATAAGCCCCCGTATGGTAGAAATTAAAATTCATATTTTAATTTAAGTCAAAATCAACAACTGATTTTAACCATCCATTTATGGGATTCCACAAATTTTCAACGACACATTTCATCAACTTTTATCAAAATCTATCAAAAATTTGATTTTAATCCCCCACCAAATAGTGGCTAAATTTCCTTCATTATGAGAAACTTGGATCTTAAAATTAATTTTTCAAATAGTCATTGGTTATTGCATCAATTATTAAAACTTGTTTGTTGTTATATTTATAACTGTGGTTCTTTGCTCCATTGTTACAAGTCTAAAGCGTTAATTTTGATCTTGACTTTAAACTGACAACTATGTTTACATAATTAGTGGAATTCAGAGGGGTAATGTTGATTGGTAATCCCTGATTTCATTCAATCAAACATCTGGAAATTTGAATGTGGCCCTGCTGACATCCCTCTGGAATGTGAACCACTTCTCAGTATTATATTGGTGTCAAAATGAGGTTGCTTGATCAGACTGGCATCTCCTAGTAACTTGAATTTCACCTTTTCAATGGTTCCAGCCCTAGGCTCAAACATAATCATAAAGTCCAGAGAAATGCATCCACACAAAGCCCTTATTGCTAACTGCTGCAATTCCCTTGGTCCTTAAGTTTCTTTTCAATGTATTTGTTATGGATAAAGAGTAGAACTTATCCTATATTAGTATGCTATAAATTATCTGAAAGTTTGCTACTAGTCATGTGTAACATTTTTGTTATTCAATTTGGAATGTCGGTGACTAACATATCTGATCAAGCATTGAGTTGCAAAAGTGATTCCTCCTTTCTTTTTGGTCACTGTAGAGTTGCCCTTTGCAGCTCAGCTCCCTTTAATTCAAGTACATTGTAATTTTTTTTTTAGTACTACCTATGGAAACAAAAATAAATCTGGAATTGTTATGTTTTAGTTTGGATATGAGACGTTTTTGTGAAGTTTCTTGCATCTATATGTTAACTATTTTATTAGGCACATAACATGAGTCCCTACAGAATATTCTCTCCAGAGGCTGCTTGCGACGTCATTGAAGCAGAGATGCATTCTCATGTTTTTTATGAGGCGGAGCCAGATATCTGGATGGTGATGGTGCGGATCTCTTTCTTAAGAAGCTAATCTCTCTCTCCAACTCTTTCCCCAACAACACAGCTACTATATTTTGGGTGGTGTACTTGGTAGAATAATGAACAACATAAATTTTCTTTAACAAATATTTTGGTTAGACGTAGTTAGATTAGTAATTATTAACTCTTGCACAATTGTTTCTTTTCTACATACAAGATTAGTATGATATGCTCTGTTTACATAATTTTAAAGTGTGCCTAAACTATACTTGTTCTCTAGATTGGCATGACAATAATCTTTCTATTATAGGTCTACGTAATCCTTTATCTCGTGTAAGATCTTTAATGTTGCAAAATCAATACCTTAACTTAAGATTTACGGAGATATAATTATCATATGCTTTACGTAAGTTGATTTAAATAATTAGGAGTTCAAACCGTAAATACTTACACTGTATGTTGATCTACAAACTACATTGAAGCTTAACTTACAGTAAAATGAGCTTTCTTCAATTGGTTGTTACCTCTGTGTAGCAGGAACTTACATTTCTACTGCCTGCATTTGTTAATTAATTAGTGAACTTCTCCTGGGAATTTTGCCACCTAAATCATGTCTTGTTTATTAAAATTTCCTAACTTCTCTTGCATAAACCAGAAAAGACATTAAAGTTCTTCTTTTTCAAGCTCAGGTGTTATATATGTAAATTTGACACATATTTCTACTATTGAAAATAAATATTATAACTATACACACCAAACATGCTAGCAGTTTCTTTACTTTTGCTATCTGTGGTCTTATCTGATGTAGCACATAATCAAGATTAGTAATTTCCTACTATAATTGTGATTTATCTTTTCTAGTTTCCTTTTCTAATTTTAATAGATTTTATTTTATTCTTATTTCTTGTTTAGAATACTCCTCCCGTCCCATTTATATATGCTCACTTTCCTTATTTTCTTGTCCCAATTATATAATATTATTTCTTTATTAAGAATGTTTTGCTTTGTTCGTTTACTAATCTACTTTTATTTCTTTACTACTTTCAATAATAATTTATTACTTGTTATTNCTTTAATGTTGCAAAATCAATACCTTAACTTAAGATTTACGGAGATATAATTATCATATGCTTTACGTAAGTTGATTTAAATAATTAGGAGTTCAAACCGTAAATACTTACACTGTATGTTGATCTACAAACTACATTGAAGCTTAACTTACAGTAAAATGAGCTTTCTTCAATTGGTTGTTACCTCTGTGTAGCAGGAACTTACATTTCTACTGCCTGCATTTGTTAATTAATTAGTGAACTTCTCCTGGGAATTTTGCCACCTAAATCATGTCTTGTTTATTAAAATTTCCTAACTTCTCTTGCATAAACCAGAAAAGACATTAAAGTTCTTCTTTTTCAAGCTCAGGTGTTATATATGTAAATTTGACACATATTTCTACTATTGAAAATAAATATTATAACTATACACACCAAACATGCTAGCAGTTTCTTTACTTTTGCTATCTGTGGTCTTATCTGATGTAGCACATAATCAAGATTAGTAATTTCCTACTATAATTGTGATTTATCTTTTCTAGTTTCCTTTTCTAATTTTAATAGGTTTTATTTTATTCTTATTTCTTGTTTAGAATACTCCTCCCGTCCAATTTATATATGCTCACTTTCCTTATTTTCTTGTCCCAATTATATAGTCTTGTTTCTTTATTAAAAATATTTTGTTTTGTTCATTTACTAATATATCATTATTTCTTTACTACTTTTAATAATAATTTACTACTAGTTATTGATAATTGAATGAGGATAAACTAGGAAAGTTTTTGGCAAAAATTGTTTTTCCAATAACATTAAATAATATTTTTTAATCTGTGTGAAAAACAAAATAAGCCTATATAAATGGGATGGATGGAGTATGATTTATTTTCTTTATTGATTAGAACAAGATTTCTAATTAGATTAGGATTTTATTAGTTTCTTTATTTTAGTTTCTTATTATCAGTAGAAGTAGAAAATAATTTTGCCTATAAATATAGAAATATTGTACACTTTTTCATAACATTAATTATTATTCAATCAATACAAAACAAGTTATTCCAATATAGTTCTTATTTTCAATTCTTATTACAAGAATTTCATAACGCTTCCCCACCAAAACTGGTATCAGAGCAAGGAAATTGTCTCAATCTGATGTCTGACTATGGTCTTTATGGCAGTCGAACCGTTGACAATGAACGGAGGCTCGACCAACTCGAACAACGAATCGAGGGGGTCAATGAAACCCTTCAAAACATCATGCAGATGTTGATTGCGTTGACTTTTGAAAGGAATTACGAGCCCATGAAGAAGCAAGTTGACAAGAATTTACAGATTTTAACTGATATGAATGTTGGTTGCTTCAACAACATTAAAATACGGCAACAGGTAGTTAGAGAGTTTCCTCAAGTCCCAACTAAATTTGAATAAACATAAGTTATCAAGGATTCAACGAAAGTTTATCAAGAAAATATAAAAGAATCCAATTTGAAGAACAACAAAATTCTTAAAACACGATACACCATCAACTACAAAGTATGCAAAGTGATAATAAATCATAAGAGTCATGAGAACTTGATGTCCAAAGCATTGGTGAAAGCTTTAAATTTGAAGACCGAAAAATACTCATCCTGTAATCAAACTTCACAGGACAAGAAATTCAAAATATGAAGGTATGTAAAATTTCACTTTCTCTTGGAAAATACTACAAAAAATGAGATTATATGTAACGTGGTAGAGATTGACAATTGTCATGTACTTTGGGGACAACCATGGTACTATGATGTAGATGTCACTTATATAAGTCGAGATAATAGGTATGTGTTTAGGAGGTGCGATAAAAAGATTGTGTTGGTGTCATGTAATGAGCAATTTATGAATGACAAAGAGAAAAAAACTTACAGATGATGAGGCTAAAAAAGAAGTAATTCAAGATGTTACCAACCATGGTACTAAAACAGAAAAAGAAAAGCACGTATAAGTTAAAAATTCGAGACCTTTTGATTCTTTGTATATGGAAACTGCAATTTAAAACTTCAAGATCGAGCCGCACTTCAAGAATAAACAAGTTGAAGATCAGAAGTGTCCAACAGGAGAGGAAAAAATTAAATTTTGCAATCACGAAGGAGTTAAATGTGAAAATTGTCAAATTGAGAATAAAAATTTTGTTGACTTTTTCTACAGCTATAGTGTTAAAGAGTTGCATAAAAATAGGGAAAACATGGACTATGAGGATTTAAGTCCGCATACCAATTCTTTTGTGTTGAAAAAGCATCACTAAACATTACAGTAGAAGGTGAGAAGTGTGAAGAATTGAAAATAGCACCAGTGACCTCTATCAAGAGTGAACTCAATGACGAGAAATCGAATCATGCTTCGTTTATGAAGGAATGTCATGTACAAATTAACTGTGAAGAAAATATAATAAGCATGATTCAAATAAAGTTGACTTTAAAGAATACAACCGAAGAATATAACGATGTTGATTGAGCACATCAAAAAATTGAAATTTCTTAAATATTAGTATTGATAAATTTTTTTGAATATTTTCCTCCTAATTGATTGATATTTTTCTTCAAGAAAATTGGAGGATGAGTTTTATTCAAGTGGAGGGGATTGATGTAGTACATAACTATGATTAGTAATTTCCTAATACAATTATGATTTATCTTTTCTAGTTTCCTTTTCTAATTCTAATATGTTTTATCTTTTTATTTTTATTTCTTGTTTAGAATAAAATTTCTTTTCTTTATTGATTAGAATAAGATTTTTAATTAGATTAGCATTTTATTAGTTTCTTTATTTTAGTTTCCCATTATTAATAGAAGTAGGAAATAATTTTGTCTATAAATATAGAAGTATTGTATACTTTTTCAGAACATCATTTATTATTCAATCAATACAAAGGAAGTTATTCCAATATAGTTCTTATTTTCAATTCTTATTACAAAATTTTCTAAACGCTTCTGCACCATTATCATTTTGTAGGTAGTAGAGAAAAGTAAGGAATCAGAAGCCATATGGCGTATTGATGCTTTACAAAGAGTTCTTAAGGAAGTTCATTCCCTTTTTGTGATGTTTCATGGATCTGTCAGAACATTGGTTGATAAGGAACCTACAGGAGGATTTGTCCGGAGTCATTTATATTATTTCATCATGGATTATTTGAGTGGTGAGTGGTCTCCATATGTAGTATAAGCTACACATACCTCTGCTTGGCTTCTCTTCTCCCAGATTTTCTATGGTTTGAAATATTTTATTGTAAGTCACTAATTGTCAGCATGTCAAAACCGGTCTCCATTTGATTCTTGCTGCTGGGATAATGCTGCAGTTGCTGTACAAACATTTGATTTGTTCTCTCGGAGCAATCTGAAGTAGCTATTTTAACACCTTGCATTTTCTCTTTGGGCCAGATTTTTTTATTGGGAAGAAACTTCAGTTTCCAAACTTTTGTAACTCTTTAAAAGAACGTGGAACAGTGCAAAGGTTAACTGTGGGGCGGGAGGCTGCAATTGATGTTCAGGTTGGTCTTTAGGTACTATTATTTATTCTTTAGTGTGACAAAATTTGTTAATTTTCTTTTGCCCATGATGGGAAAATGACGTTTGCTTGCTGTAATTTCCTCCGATATACAGACTGTCATGGATTATTATTTCTTTACTTGTATAAGAAAACTGGGTACACTTGCTAATCGTTGAGGCTCTTCATTTGGAAAGGCAATCAAATGGAAGGAAGAAATTAGCTCCTCTTTTGAAGGTTTTATGCCTAAAGATAATGGTAATGGAAACTTAAGTCCTAGCTGCAACTTTCTAGGTCTCGAAGTTCTAAGTTTTTGAGGAATATTTCCAAAAGCATCTTAGATACTGATCATGACTCAGTCAAGAATTTCTTGTTTAAACTTTTTCTAAAGATTGAATTTTATATTGAGTTCTCTTCCATAAATTGTAGAGTAAATTCAAAAGAATGAGTTCTCAAAAGACACAATAACATCTTCGCAGACAAAGAATAGAGTCACAAAGTTTTGAGTTATAAAACTCTTGATTTCTTTCACTCTGATGATTATTTAATGATCAGGAAAAGCAAATCATTTGTCTTAGATGATTGGTAATGTTTGATCACTTGCTTAATAAAAAAATATTATTAAAAAAGACTATCCAGTAGGAGTTCGACATAACAAGCATACTCTTTGCAAGAACTATGGATTACAATGATTACATGTAAGTTATTATGAAAGGGAAAGTTGATGCAAGATACTTATGGTGAGGTTTTGTTTCCTTTTTTTGGAAGTATCTACAACATTGGGACTTTCCTTGTAAATTTTTTGTTGAAGTAAAAGTGGGACTTACTGTTACACAGAGTTATGCTATGAACTGTGTTTAAGGAAAAGTACAATTATGGTGTAGTTTCTCAACATTGCCATTTTATACATTTGAATTTTCTGTGCTTGGTTTCAACTATACTGTTGGCTAACATAGTATTTATTAAGTCATTGAAAAAATCATATTTATGAAAATTTTCACCTTATATCTTGTTCTGGGCAGTCACTGGTCAGAGTATTAGAATCCTGTGCTGGGAACTCAAAGTGCTACTCACTTACCATGTTCCAGGACCTGCTGGTGTCCACAACACTTTCTCCTGTACGGTTTGATGTTTTGTGATCATTTCCCCGCTTAGCATTAAAAAAGGAGTATGAAAAAATTTCACCCTTCAGATGTAGCTAAATGTTAGCAAGATGGAGGGCATGATATTATTCATTCTTTTTTGTCAGGACGACACTGTAAACGTTTATAGTTATGCTGTCCTAAGGTTAACCCCCCAAGCTCTATCCTATGGAGTAAGTTCCTGGTCCTATTTGCTTAAAGGTAGCACTGCATGTAATACTTCTGCTGGAGCTTTAATGGCAAATTCTTGTCCAAGTGTGGATCAATACTATAATTCAGGTGATACGTCCCCAGTCGGAAATCACAGTTATCATGTTGTGAGGCCTCTGCAGCATGACAAATGGTCTAGGGGGAAGGATGGTTTTCTTGTTACTGATATTTGGGGAGCAGAGTTTGGAAGTTCAATTCCTACCAGCCCAACAATTTGCCTTAAGCATAAAGAGGAGAGGATGTATTTATGTGCTTATCAGCTTCACAACCTTACTGTGATACTCCTAATTCCAGTCTCTTCTGTCCTCAATGGGGTGCAAGGGATTGCTATGGTGAAGCAACAAATCCTTGAAAATGTGAGTTTTTGTTTTCTCTGCTCATTTTAGACTGGTTCAAAATTGAACTTTCTGGTGCAGTTTTATTCATTCTTGAGGTTTTTTTTTTATTTGTCATGCATAATTCACATCGATACAATACATCTGAAGAGTTTTATTACAATTTATTAATGAGTTTATAGTACTCAATTATGTCTTTTGGCGTCATCTGATGCTGTATATTAGAACTGGATAGTGGGCTCAAGATCCACTAACATCAAGTTGAAATGGTTCTAATGTGAACTCTTGACTGGAAACCCCTCAAGGCTTACACGTCTCCTCAAAAAGGTAAAACACCTCTGTATATGATTGAACCTTTTTAAACACTGGTCAAAATCATGTACAGATTGATGTTTTCAAGGGTATGAATGATGATTGGACTCGTAGGACGGTGGACTTATAGACCAAACTAACAGAAAAATCCAACTGGTCTGACAGAAATCGAATTTGGTTTGTCAAAATTTATGTTTACTGAGTGGGTGGTCAAGTTGTGATGGTTCTAAATTTTTGTCATGAAAACATTTAGCAAAGGATATTTTGAATTTTATTGCATCTAAAGCTTGGTTTGTCACTTAAAATGATAAGATAATCCTCTGGGTAATGGCCTAACTCAATTTGCTATTATACTCCATAGAACGTCTGTTTTACAAAATTTCTTATGTGAAATTAGATCTTTTAAAATGTTGACCAGTTTTATTTTTATTAGATGTTTCGTCCTCATAGTATCTGTATGTTTCTTTTGTTTCTAGTGCAGTATGATGGCTGTTGAAATATGTGACTTTTGCTTTGACCGGTTATAGACATTTGGAAGATTAACCTTTAATAAAAATAATAGCATGTTTATGTTCTTAAGTAAATTGCAGCAATGGGTTTTCTTTCTATTAATACAACAATGTTGTAGTTGGTTACTTGTAGCATTTCTATTGATCTGCGCAAATTTTGCATAATAGTCGCTGTTTATTTCAGGCATCCCTAAAGATGTTCAAAGTTGAGGAGAAACTATCCAGAGGATGGGGAGGCGAGAATGCGTATCATGTGAGTGGGTATCGTTATTTGCTGGTGGATAGTGATAGATACATATCTAGGGCGTCTCCTCCTGGAAAAGTAACAACTTTGACAAAGGTTCGTCCTGTTCCTTCATTAAGAGTGATTTGTGTCATTCTTGTCCAGTTTAACCTGTAACTGAATTTTTGCTTCCATGTGTGGCTAAGTGACCACTTATTATTTTGATTCTTTTATTTCTTGGAAATTGAGTCGATCCATTTCATTTATGTTTTAAGATATGCATAAGTAGCATTCTTGTCTACACATGGTTGCGATTCTCCTATTGGGATGAATTTGGAAACATTTGAATGATTTTAGCATAGTAAAAGATTACCAGATTTCCAGCCTAAGAGATGTTACTTTTAAAGCCTCGGTGTTTCTTGAAATGTCAGAAATACTTTATGAAGACTTATGGTTATTTCATTATCTTGGACCGGTCTATTTCTTTGTTGAAACACTATCTAAGCCTATGCAGGATTTTTAGGTCTCCAACTAGACCCAATGGGGTACCCCTACCATGTTGATTGATATAAAAATGAAATACGAACGGGAGGGAGACGTTACAGCCTTACCTCCAGAAGTACAAAAGGAGGAGAATAAGAGATCCTTAATACATGAGGAGGTATGGCAAAGTAGCATATGTAAATAAAACCAAATATGACCAAGAATAAAAATTATTTCCATTAAGAAACTCTAATGTTTGAAAACTCCAATCTGTTGAGTTTGAGCAATCCAACAATTCTACTCTTCAACTCCCTTTCCCACATTTTCAGCTAGTGAAATTCCTTGGTTCACAAAATAATCTGCAAATCAACCGGTCATAGTCGTGGAATTTGAAAATCTGTTGTGATGTTGTGAAGCAGGATTCCTTAATTGCCTTGAGTAAGCTTCGAGAAGAGGTTGACTCAGAAAAGATTAGAGCTAACTCGGATGGTTTAGGCTACGAGAAGGATCTCGAAGTATGCATTAGAGCTAAAAACAGTGCTTGGCTTATTGCTCGGCTTACAAGAGGAAAAGAGCTCTATATGGTTCTTGAGAAAGCCAATGAAACACTTCTCTATGCCTCTGATGCTGTTGAGAAGTTTAGTGACAGGTAACATTTTCTACTTTGACCTTCAATGAAAACTAGTTGACAACAAAGTTATATGAAATCTGCTTGAAACAAAAGTTAATTCTATCAAGATAAGAGAGGGGAACAATGCAGTTTCCTGAAATTAAAAAATATTGCCTTTATAAGAGAACTTTTGGTGAAATGTGACATTATTTTTGAATTGATTGTCTTCGTGAGCTGGTGGAACAAACAATATAAAAACTAGTATTCTATATTGGTTCCTCTTCTGGTGAATTTAATAGAAAAATCACTTGATTTTCTTTGACAAAAGCAGACTGACTACTCATCTCAACAAAACATTGTCCTATGTTGTATCTGACTGTGTTACACTCGTTGTTTTCCCTGGCTGTAAATACTCTTATCTACACAAACTAATACTGAAGAATGAGTAAAAATAAATTGGGAAGAGCATTGGTGGTTGCTGGCATAAACAACTAACATAATCCAAAATAAAAGAGTAGTTGTTCGTTTGTAATACTGAAATGGAAACTTTGTGTCCAGATAGAAACTAATGTGCTAGGTACTAGATGACAACATAGAATATAGATCAATTTAGTTTCCTTCTATGAAACTGGGAACTAATGATTTTGAGCTGCAGGTGTAAAATTCTAATCGTAGGTCATTTGTGAAACTTATGTTAGAGCAGAAATCGTCTTAAAGGAACAATCTTTCTATGTACTGATCAAGTTTTAAAGATTGGGTTTTAAAGTGAGAACGTAATGCAGTTACAGTGTGTTTATAATCATTTCATCACATTGACCCATAACAGGAACATAAGCAGTTCTCTTAGCCATGTTGTCACCATTGTACTCATTAGGCTGTTTTTGCATTCAAGAGAGAGTTTTGCATTTCGTTTTTCCACCAGCTGATTGTTGAGTGTTTTTTTATCTTTAGTATCACCGATTTATTTCCTGTTATGACTGAAAAAGAACATGCTCACAGCAATTCTCTTTGATTATGCACTATGCAGGTATTGCAATGGAGCTTTTTCCTTGGAATAGGAAAGATTCCAAGACTCTGCGCCGAGAAAAAATGAAGTTGCTCTTTTTGATATGCTCAGAGACTTTTATATATTCTGTCTTATGGAGATTTTGTTCGGGGAACCCTCATACAGAAGATGTTTGTATAATGGAAACAGAAGTATAAAAAAGGGAAAAACTTAAAAAAGAGTTCAGTGTATTAATATCTTTACATGGAAATCGATCCACCTTCCTTATTGCTACTGCTGTTATCGAGTCGAAGTATATTAAACTGTAGTGGCATGTAAAATTGGAATAGAGTTATTCGTGATCTTGATTTGTTAGTTAACAATGTGATCTCTGGGACGTGTCGTGGAGATAAGTGAGACCGCTACTTTAATACGTTTTTTCATTACTATGCTGTATTGAGCCAAAGATGATGGTCGAAGAGTTGCTAGTAAAATTGAGTCAGGTAGCTTCTTGGTCTCGACCAATGGTAGGTGAAGTCATTATCGTTAGAGATGATAATGTTCATATAAAGATTGAAGACTATATTTATGGTGGATTCTTCAAGAAATTTGCTAATAAAATGTCATAATTCTACCTTGAAAATTCCGTTTCAATGTGAAGTGGTTTTTTTGTCATGGAGTATGATCTTGAATCAATTATGTACGGTTAGATTTATCACATGGGTGGTGGCACTCTCGATTGGATGATTATCAACCCACGCGGCACCAAGGTGAACGCCTACTACCATGAATCATAGAACAACCGTTGACACGTCCATTTAATCATACGAGTGTCTCAAGACTAAAATCAAAATTTTAAGTTATAATTAAATCAGTTTCCACGTGTTTCAATGGGTAAATTCCGTTATTTTCTTTCCCTACATCATCCTTAGTTGTCATTTCTACAATCAAGATTTAGCGCCCAATTAATGGGGATCAACCGATCATATTTCTAATAAATACAATTTATCACAATAAAAAATGATATTTTCCTTTTCACATTCAATAAAAAAAAAAAGCAATAAGATTTTTCATGCGAATGTAAAAATTTAAAATAATAAATTATTATTATTTTACGTTCAAGAAAAGATAAGACAAATTCTGCATCATCCACACCCGAATTTTACTCCATCATTTCCTTCACAGCAATGGTATCTTCGTAATTTTAAACAGGACAGAGGCCAATTCACAGTCACCTTCCTTTATTTACTCCTCCCCTCCGATTAATTCTCTCTTCGTTCTCCGATCCATTTTCCCTGTAAAGGAAAACTCAAATTCCCTCGATTTTCTTCCCTACAATGGAAGAAGAAAAATCAGTTCAATTTTCCTCTGAGCCAATTCATCATGCTGAGGAAAATGGCCACGGCTGGCAAAAAGTGACCTACGCTAAAAAACAGCGGAAAAATAAGACGACGTCGGATTCTTCTAGGGTTGCATCTAATGGATCCTCTGCTGTTTCGGAGAAAAATAATGTCTTCAAGAATTTGGAGAAGAACGCGGAGGCTCGCCGGCGGACACTGGAGGCGCAGCGCGCTGCAGCTGCTATTTATGATGAGGATGATGCACCGGTGAGATCGAAGAAGAGATGGGGGGATGAGGATGAGGATGATGAAGGAAATGAGGCGGATGGTAAGCTGAAGGAGAATCTTTCAGCCAAGGCGACTCAGAAAGAGAAGCCGAAGAAGGTTAAGAAGCCTAAGGTAACTGTGGCTGAGGCGGCTGCAAAGGTTGACGCTGCGGATCTTGCTGCTTTCCTCTCTGACGTGTTGGTAAGTTTCTTTCTTGTAATTTACCTGAATTTTCATTTTTGTTGTGGTGCAACTTAAATTTTGTTGAACAGTGAATTATTTTTAATTTTTGAATTTTTTTTGTGTTGGTTTACTAGGTGTCGTATGAGGGGCAGCAGGAAATACAATTGATGAGATTTGCAGATTATTTTGGGCGTGCATTTTCAGCAGTGAGCGCATCGCAGTTTCCTTGGCTGAAGTTGTTCAGGGAGTCTACGGTGGAAAAAATCGCTGATGTGCGTTGATTGTTATTCTTTTTTGTGTAGTATTCTCTTTCAGATCCGTTATCTACGAATTTTGGAGAAGCTGGGATTTCTTGATATGCCTAACAGCATAAATTTGCACGTTGGCATATAAATGTCAAATTGCATTTAATAGCATGTTTTTAGGATTCAAGAAAATTATATGATGCTGGTGAATGCTGATTTCTATTTCAGTGGGTAGGGAACAGATGATGATATAGAAGGTTTTTGTGTTTTATATTTTCAGTAGCTAATATGTTTTGGAATATATGGAGAATTTACACTAGAGTGGTCCTGATATTAGCTGAAGACTAATATGGAAGGAAGATAATAATCCTCTCTATCTTTGCATTTGGAAAAGATATCACAAGTATGGAAGATATTGCTGAAGACTGGTGCTTCAAATGCAAAGATGGAGCGTATGCGACCACAAGCAATTTGTAAAATTGTATCATTCATTTTGTGTGGAAAAGGACAGTTCCACTTCGGAAAGCGAGTGGTTTATGCACTTGAGTGGTCCTAATATTAGATCTTTATGATCCCTGGTTCGCTGGATAATATATTCTGACATTTTTGAGTTTATGCATTCTAGAGATGCACCATTTATTTTTGGATTTGCGTTTTTTCTATTTTTATTGTCCTTGTACTATCTGATACTTGGAGATCTAATGTGTTGATATTCAATCAACAGGTCCCTGTATCGTATATTTCCGAAGCTGTTTACAAGACTTCAGTTGACTGGATTAATCATTGTTCCTATGATGCACTTGGTTCTTTTGTGTTGTGGTTATTAGATGGCATCCTTGCTGACTTGACAACCCAACAGTTAGGGTCTAAGGGCTCCAAGAAAGGAGGGCAACCAACACCCTCGAAGTCTCAGGTTGATGACATTGTATAATATAATTCGTGTTGTAAATATTGAATTGTTACCTTTATTGCATTTTTGGTAGGGCATGTCTGTGTAGATTAGATAGTGGATACTTACGTGGGCCTTCTATTACTGCAAGGGACCATCGAGACTCTTTAAAATGCATTTGAGGCATGGAATGTATTTGGCAAATTGTAGATGCGGATAGTTCTCATGGGTGTGGGTTTTCTTTCTCTTGATATTATTGTGTCCCCTCTCCCATCACTTTTTTCCTGCACATCCAGAAATATTTCATCTTATGCTATATGCAGCATTTTAAGAAATTCATCTTTAGAAAGAATGTTTACTTGTAATGTTGGGCCATTTCACTTCTAATTGTCTTGCACTAGGCTTGCCAGTTCCCTTGCCCCTCTTTCAAAACGTTTTCTTTCAAATGTTGCAAGTACTACATCTGCAGCAACACAAGGGTTGCACGATCATCACCTTCTTTTCAAAGACTCCTTCAAATACATCTTACATGTAGCACTCTCTATGGATTTTAGTTTGTAAGTTGGAGTCCAAGGTTTTATCTCTTGAAGGCTGTGAATGTTGCAATTTCTCGTGCTTTTCTTGTAACAAGTGGTCTCCTTCTTTGCCTAGCCCTTCTTCTATTTTTTTCTTTCCAATAACTTTGTCACTGCCAGGGCCATTTCACCTCATATTCTCCTATAATAATTTTTTTTTTTTTAATTTCAAGGGTCTGACTGTGGCAGACTATCTTTATTGTTTTAGCAGGAGACCCTTATGAGGTCCTGCCTTACACAGATAAATGTTGTCATTCTGTATGTGGATTCCTTTCTGAATCCAAAGAGCCAAACTTTTGGGGAAATTTTATGTGTATGCTAATTTGTATCAGCTAGTATGAGAAACTCCATCTAAGATGGTTCCCAGTGCAATTTAGAATTTTGTTGACAGAATTTTGATAAAGCCTAATTGTTAAAAGAAAAAATATCAAATCAATTTCATGGTCCATTTCCTGTGAGAAATCTTAGGGAAAGGAAAGGCTGTGAAGAATTTGAAACATGAATCAAGGATATGCTTTATGAGGGTGTCTATGGAACATCTGGCTCTGGTTTTTATTTTCCAGGCCTTTGAGATTTTCTTATTTCCTTGAATAGTGAATTTAGATTATTTCCTTTAATATTTTTCCAGTTTTAATGACAGAGATGACTCTGCAAAGGATCGCGTAAGATTTGAAAATAGTGCCTCCTCCCACTCCAACCCTCCTAGCCTTCCTGATCCTGCTACTTCTGCTCTGTTTCCTTCTCTGCTTCTTTTTATGGGCTGGAATGATGCCCTTTCTCGTTCATTTACCTTGTATTTTGCTCAGTACCTGAATGCCCATTCTGTTTCTAATTACTTTATATCTGTTACATTTTGGCAAAGAATGTTCCTGATGTGGGATGCAATAGAACAATTATAGACGGAAGGAGTGATGTAGAAAAGGAAAGAGAATCAGATAGACGGAAGGGAGGGAGGGAGGGGGAAAAGAGAGAACTTAGGGGTAGAATATTAATCTTTATTTCTTATTAAAGTTGTTCTTTATTAGAAAGTATAAGACTCCTTTATATAGAGTTTTGAAAGATCATATTCTAAGTAGGAAATACTATAAAATCAAACTCTAATTATGTTTCCTAAAATAAACATTAAAATTGAAAACTAATTTAACGGTTTGATTTTTTAGTAATTTTACGTAGAATAATATCTTCGAAACCCTATATAAATGGGTCTTATGCTTTATAAAAATGAACAACTTTAATAATGTAAATAAATATATTTTTTCTCCCTAAATTCTCTGTTGAATTCTTCTCTCCTTTTTATTCAAATTGTAGATGCGGATAGTTCTCGAGGTTGTGGGTTTTCTTTCTCTTGATATTATTGTGTCCCCTCTCCCATCACTTTTTTCCTGCATATCCAGAAATTTTTCATCTTATGCTATATGTAGCATTTTAAGAAATTCATCTTTAGAAAGAATGTTTACTTGTAATGTTGGGTCATATCACTTCTAATTGTCTTGCACTAGGCTTGCCAGTTCCCATACCCCTCTTTCAAAACGTTTTCTTTCAAATGTTGCAAGTACTACATCTGCAGCAACACAAGGGTTGCACGATCATCACCTTCTTTTCAAAGACTCCTTCAAATTTTCTCATGCATGTCCCTCCTTTCTACATCTTACATGTAGCACTCTCTATTGATTTTAGTTTGTAAGTTGGAGTCCAAGGTTTTATCTCTTGAAGGCTGTGAATGTTGCAATTTCTCGTGCTTTTCTTGTAACAAGTTGGTCTCCTTCTTTGCCTAGCCCTTCTACTATTTTTTTTCTTTCCAATAACTCTGTCACTACTAGGGCCATTTCACCTCATATTCTCCTATAATAATAAATTTTTTTTTTTTTAATTTCAAGGGTCTGACTGTGGCAGACTATCTTTATTCTTTTAGCAGGAGACCCTTATGAGGTCCTGCCTTACACAGATAAATGTTGTCATTCTGTATGTGGATTCCTTTCTGAATCCAAAGAGAATCCAAAGAGCCAAACTCTTTAGGAAATTTTATGTGTACGCTAATTTGTATCAGCTAGTATGAGAAACTCCATCTAAGATGGTTCCCAGTGCAATTTAGAATTTTGTTGAAAGAATTTTGATAAAGCCTGATTATTAAAGAAAAAATATCAAATCAATTTCATGGTCCATTTCCTGTGAGAAATTTTAGGGAAAGGCTTTGAAGAATTTGAAACATGAATCAAGGATATGCTTTATGAGGGTGTCTATGGAACATCTGGCTCTGGTTTTTATTTTCCACGCCTTTGAGATTTTCTTATTTCCTTGAATAGTGAATTTAGATTATTTCCTTTAATATTTTACCAGTTTTAATGACAGAGATGACCGTGCAAGGGATCGCGTAAGATTTGAAAATAGTGCCTCCTCCCACTCCAACCCTCCTAGCCTTCCTGATCTTGATCCTGCTACTTCTGCTCTGTTTCCTTCTCTGCTTCTTTTTTATGGGCTGGAATGATACCCTTTCTCGTTCATTTACCTTGTATTTTGCTCAGTACCTGAATGCCCAAAGAATGTTCCTGATATGGGATGCAATAGAACAATTATAGACGGAAGAAGTGATGTAGAAAAGGAAAGAGAATTAGATAGACGGAAGGGAGGGAAGGGGGGGGAAGAGAGAACCTAGGGGTAGAATATTAATCTTTATTTCTTATTAAAGTTGTTCTTTATTACAAAGTATAATACTCCTTTATATAGAGTTTTGAAAGATCATATTCTAAGTAGGAAATACTATAAAATCAAACTCTAATTATGTTTCCTAAAATAAACATCAAAATTGAAAACTAATATAAGGGTTTGATTTTACAGTAATTTTACGTTGAATAATATCTTCGAAACCCTATATAAATGGGTCTTATGCTTTATAAAAATGAACAACTTTAATAATGTAAATAAATATATTTTTTCTCCCTAAATTCTCTGTTGAATTCTTCTCTCCTTTTTATGTCCTTCCATCTATCTCCCACATCTTCTCTTTTCCCCCTTCTATCTCTTCGTCTCTCCCTTTTTCCCTTCTCCTGCAATTGTTTGATTGCATAATAAATCAATTAGGTATCAGAGCTCGAATCATTTCCTTGGGGCAACAAATCTGATCTCCACACCTCAACCATCCGTATCGCCTTCAACCACACAAACCACCATTCAAACCATATACACTTCATCCACCACAAGTTTTCACCCAAGACGGTAGCAATTGAAAACGAGTTTTTCGGTTTCTGTCTCTCTCCTTTATTTCTTCCAAAAAAAGAAAAAAACACACAGCAGGCGGCATCGCAGTTTGTAGTTTGTGAAATATGTTCGCTTGTTTAATTTGTGAGCTGATGATGCAATATTGGAGTAAGTTTTGTTAAATGTGTAGGCCCGTTTCCCCTAGGTCTGTAGGAGCTCCCCGGGTGAATTTTTTGTGTTGTAGGGGTACTCTGGGAAACATGCATGAATTAAGCGGCCCTAATATTTTCATCCTTTATAAATAATATAAGGGCGAGCCTCCTTTCAGCATGTCATAGTAGAGAGAAAACAGAGAGAGGCGTGAGTCTGAAAACACATTATAATTTTCTTCTTCTATACGCTACAAATCTACAGCAGCATTACTATCACATTGAGAGTGGATCTCCTTAAATTTTGTGTTTTCTTGTTCTAGTTTTCTGTTTCGTGTTATTATTGCTCTTGGTACTAATTCATAACGGTTATATTTACATGAAAAGCATAAGTAGAACCTGGCAAATTTTGGTTTAAGTGATCCTATCCAAGGCAAGTTTTGGATCAATTGTTTATGAAAATGGTCGTGGACGTCCCATCGTCAATGCCATAAAGCGGCCTTGATTGTTAGTAGGTCTATTGATGATAAACTTTGAGACACCGAGTTGTTGCAATGGTTTGTCAATGCATTGAACCTGGTGCTAACTTCTATTAGAATCCTCATTGGCACTTGAATGGATTTGGCTTGATTTCAGAGGATACATCTCAGTAGGAGATGCTACCGTGTTAACTTCTTCTTTTTTCCTACAGAATACACAGAACCAAAAATCAATCATTCATCTCTTACATGGTCAGGATTTATCCATTTGGTAACAATCCAAGTTGTTCAATTGTTTTTCACTTTTAAGACATTTACTATTTACGAATGTTAAAATGCTTCTTTTCACATTCTCACTATAGATATAGATTGTTTCATTGATCGATCCATAGTGTATATATCCATCCTTATCCATGCAGCCTGGTCATGACATTGTTTGATCAATTTAATATTTCTTCCTCAACTGATATATATGTTTCTTTTATGTTCGTATATCAGGTCGCCATCTTTCTAGTTTTAGCTATGGTATTACGCCGGAAACCTGATGTTGTAATTAATCTACTACCGAATTTGAGGGAAAACAAGTATCAAGGGCAAGATAAACTTCCAGTTGTTGCATGGATGGCAGTGCAGGTGAGTAGTTAGGGACTTTGACATCATTGTCAATCATTAGCACTTCTTTTTGAAAAGCTGAAGTTGGACATTTTTGTGTAGGCCTCTCGAGGAGATCTGGCTGTAGGATTGTACTTATGGGCTCATCATATTTTGCCTATGCTTAGAGGCAAATTGGGCTCTAACCCGCAATCTAGGGATTTGGTTTTGCAGGTTGTGGAAAGGTGATTTTCTATTGAAATACTTGTACAATTTGATTCTAACATGTTTTCTGATTTATTTCCATTTAATCGATAAATCAACTTGATTCTGTGTCAGAATTCTGTCAGCACCAAGAGCTCGTGGTATATTAGTAAACAGTGCAGTTAGAAAGGGGGAGCGCTTGATTTCACCTGCATCGCTTGACCTACTGCTACATGTAACATTCCCTGGGTCTTCTGCACGAGTCAAGGTTGGAGTTATTGGAGAACTTTTACTATGTTGTTCAAAAGTTCCGGCTAGTATTGTCTGGTCCTACTCTGCATCCTTTACATTGTCACTTAAGTGCTGTCATTTATCTTCCATTCGGTATGTATTTCAGGCAACCGAAAGGTTTGAGTCGATCTATCCAACTCTAAAAGAGGTTGCTCTTGCTGGTGCTCCTGGAAGCAAAGCCATGAAACAAGTATCACAGCAGATACAGGCTATAGCTGTGAAATCAGCTGAAGAAGGCAATTTCAAATTTTAACTGACATCTTATTTTGCAAATTCTCTTTTATATAGTTAGTTAAAAACTCTAAAGTACATGGTGAGTTTGATAAAGCGCTATTTACAGGGATCCCAGAGCTAACCGAGGAAGCAATTAGCATATTTGTCTGGTGTTTGACTCAGAATCCTGATTGCTACAAGCAATGGGTAAGCTTTAGTTGGTACTTTGCATTCCATCGGGTTTTGCACCTTTAATGCTGCTAATTTATGCAAACGATGTAGAAGGCTTAATTTTACGTCAGCCGTGTAACCATCCTATTTAAAATTGATTTAAATAGGACAAGATCTATATGGACAACATAGAGGTTAGCGTTGTGGCCTTGAGGAAGCTTTCCAAGGAGTGCAAGGAGATACCATTGGAACAGTCTTCTCTCGAAGCATTGAGGCAAACTCTAAAGATTTTCCAGCAAAAAGTGGGTACTTTATTATTTTCAGACATTTCCCATGATTGGTAGTTCATCCTTTTTTCAAGTCTAATTGTAATGGCTTTAGACTTCCTCGAGTACATACACATGTAATGCATACATACTTGTGTACAAGCTTATAACACTGGACTTGTTTTCTATCATCTTTCTCCACAGAATGAGAAAGCATTAGCTGGTGGGTTGGATGTTGCTCGCCAAGCTTTCTTTAAGGAAGCAAACAAATACTGTAAGGTAATACTGGGCAAAATATCACGTGGGCACAGTTGTGCCAAAACTATGGCCTTTGCATTTGTGTTACTGGCAGTAGGAGCAGCCATAATCTCCCCAAAGCTGGATGAATGGGATTGGGACAAGTTCATGGCTTTGTTCAATGCTCACTAATCCTCCTAAAAGCAAATTTACAGCCAAATCTGAGAGACTCGAGACATTGGTTTTTTATCCTTTAGAGTGGGCAAAACTAACCATATTTGCGGGAATAAAGTCGCAGAAGAGCTAGGTCTTTGTGTAATAGCGAGTACAGATAGTGTTATTTAAATTAGAATAGTTGGAAAATTATCGCTGCAGAAAAGAGGCAAATTCTGTTGTGGCATTTAGAAATGTTTTTGCTTGTTTACTTTTTTTTGTTTAGGGAGGTCATCCTCGAAGTAATTCAGCTGATCACTTTATGTTTCTGCAAAATGATCGCCCGAATCCATGCATATTTTACTTTCTTTGTTTTTCGGGTTTTGGGAGATTTCATTTGGAAGGATACTGGGTACGCATGGTTACATGTTACAAGTTATCTTCATTTAATATGGTTTAACTTCAACTTCCCCATAAACTTGTTCTGAAATGGTGATATCCTTTCTAGTTATGTTTGAAGCCTCCTGCTAGAAGCATGTTAAATGTTTTTCAATTTTTTGCCCTTCTTTTCTTCCTTCTCGATTATTTGCTCTACGAATTGCATCAAAGTGACCGAAAATGTATAGAGCAAAGTCACTTTACTCTTTATACGATTCACGGAGAAAACTGTCTTTGAGATATAATGGGTAGCGTTGCGAAACGGTTTGATTTAGGCCATTTTTTGCATTTTCGGTTTCAAAGTGTAGTTTGAACATTTTCAAAGCAAATGCTCCCTGTTTGATGGTCATTATTTGGTCGAAATAATGTTTTGAATAGTGATTTTTTAAAGAACGTGTGGTTAAAAAGTAGGAATTTTTTTTGATTTTAT